CGTCGGAGTGGGAGAGGGAGGGCGTCGTCGGAGCTCAGATCTAGGGTTGGGACTTGGGGATGGGGATTTCGGCTTAGATCTAGGGTTATGAGAATGAGATGGCAGAAGAAAGATATTTATAGTGGGTTGGGAACAAATCTGAACCGTTGGTTGATGATCCAAAGGAGACTAATAGTGATATGTGAAACCCTAGTCCCTAGGTCCCTTAACAATTAACAATTTAACATGTCTATTTATATATGGGTAGAAGTTATAATAAAAATTTTGATGGGTGATATTTACAACAAGTTTAATTAATAGGATTAACATATAAATAGTTATCGAATAGTTAATAATCAGCCGAATCGAATATACCTTTAGTTAAATTCTATTCGTTTATAAGCCGAATACTGAAAAATATTCATTTAGTATTAAATGAACTGTCGGATCGAATATGACCGAATATCTGGACGAATATTAGCCGAATTGTTTATTAAATATTTGGTTCACTTCCACCCCTAGCTGCTGTATTGACCGCTTCTGCCCAGAACTGATTCGGTAGGCCTGACTGTACCCGAATGCTTTTGGTTCTTTCTGTCAACGTTCGGTTCATCCGCTCAGCTACACCATTTTGCTGAGGCGTGCCGGGCACGGTTCTCTTCATTCTGATCCCGTGCTCATAGCAGAACTTCTTGAATCCGGTGTCTTCATACTCACCGTCATTGTCGGTCCTGAGCTTCTTTATTCTCAGACCGGTCTCATTCTCGACCATAGTTTTTCATCTCCTGAAAGCTTCAAATACTTCTGACTTATGCTTCAGAAAGTAGACCCCACACTTTCCGAGAGTGATCATTGATAAAAGTTACGAAGTAGTGTTTTCCACCAATAGACGCGGTGGTTGTTAGTCCCCACACATCTGAGTGAACAAGCTCTAGCTTCTCTTTCTTGGGGGTTCTGTCACTTGTCTGAAAGCTGACTCTCTTCTGCTTTTCAAGTATGCATTTTTCACACATATCCATCTCCACTGACTGTAGTCCTGAGAGTTTTCCCTTTGTGTGCATGATTTTCATCCCCTTCTCACTCATATGACCGAGTCTCTGGTGTCACAGCTTTGAAGTCTCATTGCCTGTTGTAACTGAGATTAAACAACGTGCACCTGCTGTCATATACAGTGTACCAGTCTTCTTGCCTCGGGCAATTATCATTGCGCTCTTTGAGATCTTTTAATCATCTCCATGAAAGGTCATAGTGTATCCTTCGCCAGCCAACTGGCCTACGGATATTAAGTTCTTTCTCAGGTCGGGAATATGCCTGACATCTTTTAGCTCCCATACTGACCCGTTCAACTTAATTTTCACCACACCTTTGCCCACAATAGCACACGGTTGATCATCACCAAGGTATACGTATCCAAGATTTTCGGGGGTATACTTCTCAAAATTTTTTTTCTGAGAAGTAGCATGGAACGACGCTTCTGAATCTAACACCCAAGATTCCTCCTTGCTCTCCAAAGAGCATATCAATGCATTGTCTCCTCCTGAAGTGGAAGTGACATTCACCTCTGCCTTCGCCTCCTTCTGTGCACTCTTGCACTGATTCTTGTAATACCCGGTCTTTTCACAATTCCAACACTCGATAGTCTTCGAGTTGTTGCTTGGATTCTTTGACTTGGACCTCCTGTCCTTTGATCTACCTCTGTAGTTTGATCTGCCTCGTCCGTTCCCTCTGGTTGAATTTCTACCTCTTGACTCTGTATGTAATACTGAAGAGGTTGTAGCTTCACCCGACTCTCTCCGTCGGATCTCCTCACTGAGAACCAGATCACGAACGTCGTCGAACTTCAACTTGGTGCTTCCCGACGAGCTACTCACAACTGTGACTGTAGCGTTCCAACTTTCTGGTAGGGAAGACAAAAGTATCAACGCCCGAACTTCCTCATCAAACTCAATTTCAACTGAACTTAATTGGGTTGTGACCGTGTTGAGTTCATTGAGGTGTTGTGCTACTGACGCGCCTTCCGCCATTCTCAGATTGAATAACCGCCGCATCAAATGAACTTTGTTCGCGGCTGATGGCTTCTCATACATGTTTGAGAGTGCTGCCATAAGACCCGCCGTGATCTTCTCCTTCGCTATGTTGAACGTAACATTGCGAGTCAACGTCAATCTGATAACATCGAGGGCTTGTCTGTCTAGAAGGCTCCACTCATCTGCCTTCATAGAATCCGGCTTCTTCCCTGATAGTGGTTGATACAGATTTTTCTGATACAAATAATCCTCTATCTGCATTTTCCAGAATCCGAAATCTGTTCCATCAAACTTTTCAAGTCTCATTTTTCCTTCATCTGCGGCCATGGCTCCCACTCGAATCTGACTTCCTCTAGATCGTTTCACGCTCTGATACCAGTTGTTGGGAATTTAACGCCGAAATCCCTAATGCAACAGAAACGCAGAATAGAAAAAGTACACCAAGTTTTAACGAGGTTCGGCAACTGCCTACGTCCTCGGGAGCCACACAATAAATTTCTTATTAATCTTAACAAGAAATTACAATTTAAGAGCGAATCTCAAACTTGAGATTCCTCAATAAATTCCAAGGCTAATACTGTAGCTACAGTAAGATTCCCCCACTCCTTTAAGTACCCCTCTTAAATCACCCCTCTTCTATTTCCCTCTTCTTTAAACCCCCCCTTTCAATCACATGAGAGGTGCTGGAGATCAAAGAGAACCGAAGGGAAAAATTTCGCCGCCGCTTGAAGACGAACACGAGGAGGAACTGGGAACAGTCGCCGCTGCCGCCGCCTGGAATCGAAGAGAGAGAGAAAAGGAAAAGCTGCACTGTGCTCGAGCCCTAGGGTTTCCCTTTTATAGGGAAACCCTAGCTGGGCTGTCGACAGGCTGTCGGCAGCCTGGATATCGATCTCGCCTGCAGCGGTTCGACCACAAGATCGCCAGCTCAAGATCCGCCTGACAGAACTCGCCCACGAGCTCGCCTGCGTGAAATCCGCCAGCCTCGAAAACTCGCCTGCACGAAGAATCCGCCTGCTTGAGCTTCGCCTGAAGACCTTGTGCTCGCCTGCTTCCGTTAAACCTCGCCAGCTTCCGTTAAACCTCGCCAGAACAGAGGTTTGATCTACACTCGATTTTAACATACCATATGTGGAGCATACATATATTGTTGTCCATTACTTAGAATCTTGTTTGAAGCCACAGTTTGGCAGTTAGCATAAAAGCCGAAGCCTTCCATCTTGTTTCTCAGGTTTTTTGCATTACCTACAAGATAACATTTATCAGTACCTTTAACAAGATGGGCTCTGAAATCCTAGTTTTTGTACTGGTTTCATGACGTGCATCAGTCCATATATGTCTTTTCCCAATAAATTCCTGGGAATCGGACTGCAACTTATATGTTATGATTGGCCTATGCATTTAACAAGTTACTGTCTTTCTTTATAATTGTTGCTTTTCTATTTTGTTCAGTTTTTTTTCCTTGAAGAACCACCTTTGGATTGTAATGATTGATGGGGTCAGTTTCATGTGACCAAGGAGCCTAAGTGCGTATAAAGAGGAGCTACAGACCCTTTAGCAAGATTCCTGTATTAGTTTACTGGCAACTGAATGATCAGAATTGTATCCTTGTCAGAATGTACGCCCCATTTCATTTCCATATTAAACCTGTGAAGTGTAAATAATTGAACTCTGAAAGGATGCACTAAATATGCTACCATCATATGTTCCGCTGGTGTTGTCTCTCATATGGTTAGTGCCAATGGTGGATCTAGGATTTCTAAAAGGTGGTATCACTGCATAATAATTTCAAAAAATTACAGTGGTCCTCGACGAGTTTTCATATTTTGAAAGGAGTATATAATCACATCATTGATAACACTACCGAATAAATAATAGTCACACTATCAAATGCATAATAGATTGCTTAATATATGTGCCACGGTGGCTGGTCTTCTTATGCATATCATCTTCTTATGCATATCGGGAGCATTTTGGGAAGGAGAAAATATTGTCAATACACCTTATTCTAGGATGAAAATTTTAAGCTATACCCAAATTATATATCACCAATATGGTTAACAATGTTATTAGTTAATTCAGGATTGGACCCATTTCGGGATGGGTAATGGGCGTGCTGGCTCGTCCCGTCGGTCGGCCTATGCAGGCTCAGTGGCAAGGGAGCCAGCCCATGACTCACAACGAGTTGAGTGAGCCGTGTTTTGCCGCTTATTCCCGGGCCTAGCCAACTAGCTCGTTGAGCTCGAAACATACAGACGAGCCATGACACAGGTGCCCACCTGACCCACTTAATTATTTTTATTATTTTCTAATATTTAATTATTTTTAGTAGGGTTTTTTTCAATATTGTTTAACACGTAAGAATTATTTGTAAATAGCAAACTAAAAATGACATGATTACAAAAAAATTGAAAAAATAATTTTATTATGTAAAATTGTATATTTGCATACAATTAGTGAGAGAACCATCACGAACTCAGAGATTTAATGCACTTTAGAGCAGGCTTTACATCAATGAGTAGCATACTATTGTTCCACTAAAAAATACAGTAATAAAAGAAATTATAATAAACTTTAAAGAAAAAAAGATGTTACTACTAACCAAATGCGAGCTCACAGGTCAGGAAAAGCGAGCCATCTCACTCACATGTAGGCCCAGCCCACTCGCTAGGTCTTGTGGGCCGAGCGTGTTGTTGGCTCGCATTTGGCTTGGGCCGAGCCAGCACGGTCCCGCAACCTGCTACTGTAGCGACCAAGTTGGGCCCATCCCACATCGAGCTGGGTCGAGCCGAGCTCAAGAGCGAGCCGAGCGAGCGAGCGAGCGTGTGGCCCGACCCAGTGCAAGCCTACCCCTAGACCCATTGGACATGCCGTTGCGGTTTAGTTAAATGTTGCATCTGTGGCCTTAAGCTAGGTGAATTTGATAACTCCTTTTTAGGGATTGAGATATATGTTATGTGTATGATGATCCCATTGGAGGAAGTAGCGTCATGTGACACCACTTTCTCATAGGTGGATCCGCAAATGGTTAGTGCCATATTTGGCACATTGGATTGCTGATGCATCTAGGTTTTTTTAGTATCTTGGTTCATTGTGATTGATTCTAGTTAGGGTCATGAGTTTAAACTTCTTTGAATACTAAACTGAAAGGGCATAAATTTTGACAGTTTTTGTTGTTAATAATATACATTTGGTTTTGAAGTTTTTCTAGTCATGTTAAGTAGAGAAATCTTTTCTTTTAGAATAGGTGAATGTCTAAATATGAAGCTATGAATATGCTGATTGTGAAATTGGTATTATCATAGTTTGTATTATTATACAAGTTCATCATAGCTAATAACAATGCACGTTCACTATGTTCAATATCCCATTATTAGAACACTTGTACTATGATTGAGAGGAGTTCTGCTTACTCGTAACAAAACCAAAATTTTATGCAGGAAAGAATCAATGTGCCTTTAGTTATGTGTGATGTCCCACATTATCATATTGGTTCATCATAAAGCTCGTTTCGATGATTGTGCAAGTAGACAGTTTTGAATATATTTGATCACTGAAGCTTTGCATATACATACATATACATCTGCATATGTGTGCATGCGCAAATACATTTGGTTTTCAAATTTGAGTACAGATGTGAAATGCAGGAAGCTTTGCTAAAGTTGGGATTTTATTCTGGTGAGGAGGATATGGAGTTTTCCAGTTTCTCCAGTGGGACTGAGCGTGCTGTCAAAACTTGGCAAGTAAGTGCCTGTTTCTTGTTATTAAAAACTTTTGACAAACAGAAGATCAATATTCCGAGATGTTGCACCAACTGTGATATATTTCCCAATTATATTTTGCTTCATTTGCATGGAGGCTGAGTTTCTTAGGTATCTTTTTTTGCAGTCCTCATTAGGGACATTCGAAGACGGGGTTATGACTTTAGAGCTCCTAGAAAGGTTATTCATGGAAAGAACCTTAAACGAAAAAACAAATCAGGGAGGATCTTCTGTATCTAAAGCAGGAAAGGTACATACATCTAACATTCATTTCATATTTCTAAAGCTCCATACATATATATATATATGCAAATTCTATTTACTATTAGGTCTAGTGTACTTGTGCTTTAGTGTGCAAAATTGATAGTATTGTTTTAGTTACTACTTGTATATATGAGGATGCAATGTTCCATGTTTCTTTTAAACCTTTTCTGGATTCTTGGAAGTTAAAGTTTGTAAGTTTAGACGCAATCTGGATGCATGTATGCTGCATCTTACTTGAGTTGGCTCAAGCACAGAATGGTGACTGATTCTTTGACTGCTGCAACGTTAGTTTTACAGTTTATGTAGTTTTCAGGAATTTCAGGTTGTAATTTTTGAAGCAAATCTCTAATGATACGACTCTGAACTAGAAAGGTTTTACAGACAACCATTTGCCTTTTGGTGGTTGTTCAAGAACTAGTCATCACAATCATTTATATAGATGTCAGACTTTAATGTCTCTAACATATTTCTAAAATATTTTTGAAACTGTATTATTATTGAATACCTTTCTATAAATAGGTGCAAAAGCATAACCTTCAGCATATCTCGCAGTAGAAGCATGTATGGATAGGCATATTAAGCAGATGAAGAGTCTTAGGCCCATGATCCATCATTACATCCCGCAGAGACAAAACTAAGAATAAGACTAAGAATATGGCTAAACCAGTACTGGTATAGTAGCTGTAGCTATTCCCCTAGTAAGTTAATAGAGCCTACATACATAGTCTTGGCAGAACTTGTAGTAAAAAGGCACGTGCATTACTAGCCAACAACACCACTCATCGTGCAAATCATGTTTTGCATGTGTGCATGTAGGTTATTGTTGAACCGGGGAGCTCTACAGACACATAAAATGTCTATACAAAGTGGATAGTAACACATTATTACGTGAACACAGTAGACAGTGAACAACACACAATGATTTAATATGGTTCGGTTAATATGATCTACATCCACGGGCGAAGACATCAGAGGAGTTCACTAATCACAAAAGAGAACATTACAAAAAGAGATCACTCTCTAATATCTCTCCAAACTCACAATGAAGAGAACACTCGAATCTCTCTTTTTCTTCTCTCTTTCTCTTTTCTCTCTTAACTCTCTCTTACTTCAATCTGTCCCGAAGTGCTTCATCATCTCTCATTTTCATATGAATTTATAACATTCGTTGTTAAGTGAAAGGGACATTGAGATTGGTGAAATAGTTGGACTAACTTATAGCCGAGAGAAAATTGTATGGCTGAATAGAGGGGCTAAAACTCAAAATAGCGGATGCGCTACAACATTGGACTTAGGTGGCCGTGATTGTTGACTTTGGTGGCCACAATTGTTGACTTCATATTCAAGTCACTTTCACAAATCTGTGGGTACCAGAGTTAAAGAAGAATCTCATTTCTTTATTCGTCCTTGACTCAAATGGTTTTAAATTGTCGGCTGAAGGTGGAATTTTAAGAGTTAGTAAAGACTTTTTTGTTATGAAAGGAAAGAAGGTAAATATCTTCTATATACTTAAAGGCGGTACAGTGACAGATACTGCAGCAGGATCATCCTTAGATTGTTCAGATTTTGACACTATATGTTTGTGGCATATGTGATTAAGACATATGAGTGAGGGAGGACCGGATATTTTGAGCAAACAAGGTCTGCTTTGTAGCCAGAAAACCGGCAAGTTAGGCTTTTGTGAGCATTGTGTTTTCGGCAAACACCACAGAGTCTCCTTTAGTACTGGTGTCCACAGAACCGGTTGTACTTTAGATTATATCTGTTTGAGGTCCCTCTCAAGTTTCATCGAAAGGTGGAGCTCGTATTCTACTAACATTGATTGATGATTATTCCAAAAAAAGTTTGAGTGTATCCTTTGAAGTATAAGAGTGATGTGTTTGTAACCTTCAAGTAATGAAAGGTTATGATTGAGAAGCAAACATGAAGAAAAGTGAAGCGCCTCAGAATCGACAATAGGATGGAGTACTGTTACACGGAGTTTGACCAATTCTGCAAGGATGAAGGTATCGTACGTCATCGTGCAGTTCGGCATACACCACAATAAAATGCTGTTGCAGAAAAGATGAACAAAACATTTTTAGAGAGAGCTCAGTGTATGTTCTCTAATGCCACTTGTCAAAAGACTTTTAGGCTGAGGTAATCAATACAGCTTGTTATTTGATAAACATATCTCCTTCTACAACAATTGATTTTAAGATTCCTGAAGAGGTATGGTCTGGTGTCATTGCTAATTACTCTTATTTAAGAGTATTTGGTTGTTCTACTTATTTTCATGTTAATGATGGTAAGTTTGAACCTAGAGCAAAAAAAACTATTTTTCTTGGATATGCTACTGGGATGAAGAGATATAAATTGTGATGTTCTGATCCTAAGTCACCTAAGTTTATTAGTAGGGATGTTACTTTTAATGAGAAATTTATGTTTCACTTGAGAAAGGAGTTTGTTGCCGTTATTGCAGGTATTAAAAAGAAGTCTAGTAAGCAGGTGGAGCTAGAGAACTCTGCTTTAAAGGGAGTGTTTAAGTGCATCATGTTGAACCAATTGATACTGGTGAAGGTTCAACTTCAGATGCTGATACACCGCAAGTGTAATAGTACAATATTGCCATGGGGAGAACAAAAAGGCATATCCGACATCCTTAATGTTATGCAGACATGATTGCTTACGCTTTGCACATAATAGAAGCGATTGAGATTCCGAAGCCTTCTTTCTATAAGGAGGCTGTTAGTGGCAGCAATGCTGCAGATTAGTCTGTTGCGATGACTGAAGAGATGAAGTCTATTCATAAGAATCAGACATGACGAGCAGATCTTTATGCATTAGCTAAAGGGGTTCATTGATGAAGGTAAAGAAGATCATGTGTGTAGGTTGAAGAAATCTTTTTATGGGTTGAAGTAGTCTCTAAGACAGTGGTATGGATTTCATACTTTCATGCTTGAGCACGATTAATCTAGAAGTAAATATGATAGTTGTGTTTATCATAAAATGCTCAGTGATGGTTCTTTTATATATTTGTTTTGTATGTTGATCAGTTGATGACATGTTGATTGCAGCTAAAGACATGTCAGAAATCAACGAGTTAAGATCTCAGCTCAAGCATGAGTTTGAGATGAAAGATTTGGGAGCAACGATGAAGATTTTGGGGATGGAGATCCATAGGAACAGACAAGAAGTAAGATTGTTTCTATCTTAAGAGAATTACATCAAGAATGTGTTGGAGAGATTTGACATGTTTGATGCCAAGCCTTTGAAGATTTCGCTTACTGCTCATTTTCGTATTTTAACAGATTTATCACCTTAGACTGAAGAGGAACAATATATATCTTATGTTTCTTATGCTGGTGTAGTAGGAAACATTATGTATGCTATAGTTTGCAGTCATCCAGATATTTTACATGTAGCCAGTGTTGTGAGTCGATATATGGATAAGCCTGAAAATGTTTGTGAAATAGATACTTAGATATTTGAGAGGATATGCTAATATTGGTTTACGTTTTGGCAGAAACACAAGTTCAGATTGTAGAGTACTTGTTATGTGAACGATTTAGGTAAGAAACGATCCCTGACAGGTTATGTATTCACTCTTTTTTGTAGTGCTATTAGTTGGAAGGCTACTTTACAGTCGATGGTTGCTTTGTCCACTGTAAAGACAGAGTATATGGCAATGACAGAAGCAGTGAAAGAGGCTATTTAGTTGAGAGATTTGGTTGAAAATCTAGGCTTACACCAATGTGTTACTACAGTATTTTGTGACAGTTATAGTGCTTTACATTTGATGGAGCATCATATGTATCACGAAAGACCCAAGCATATAGATATTAGATATTATTTTACTAAAGAAATTAAAGTTATCAGAATTAAAAAATTGGTACTGCAGATAATCCAATGGATATGATAACGAAGCTTGTATCTTCGCGCAAGTTCGAGCATTACCTCGAATTGCCTGGAGTTCAAAAAACGGATGTCAAGTCCGTAAGGGGCTTTTGACAAGACAGCGGGAGTGAAGAGAAGATTTTCATATTTAAATCAATGTTGAGATTTGTGAAAATGACTTGAATATAAAGTCAACAATTACGGCCATCGAAGTCAACAATTACGGCCATCGAAGTCCAGAGTTTTAGCCCCTCTATTCAGCCATATAATTTTTCAGCCATACAATTTTCTCTTAGGCTATAAGTTAGCCTAGCTATTTCGCCAACCTTAATGTCCCTTTCACATTAACAATGAATGTTACAAATTCACATGAAAATGAGAGATGAAGTAGCATTTTAGGACGTATAGAAGAAAAGAGAGAGTTAGAGAGAAAAGAAAAAGAGTGAAGAAAAAAAAAGAGAGTTTTGAGTGTTCTCTTCTTTGTGAGTTTTGGGAGATATTAGGGAGTGCCTCCTTTTGTAATCTTCTCTTTTTTGATTAGTAAATTTCTCTGCTTTCTTCTCCTGTAGATGTAGGTCATACTGACCGAACCATGTTAAGTCTTTGTGTGATGTTCACTGTCTCTATTGTGTTTACATGATATTGTGTTATTATCTACTTTGTATAGATATTTTTTGTGTCTGTGGAGCTCTCCACTGCAATAGTTATGGTGAATTATCAAGTTCTAGGTTACAAATCTTCTTTAGCGGCGAACTTTTCTTATTCAAGCGAAGGTTTTTTATTCATTCACTCCTTCTATGTTTCCAAATAGAGTTTAAGTTTCTTTTGTCTCTCCTAAACTCTCCATATATGTTAGTAGTTTCATAGAATAATGCACGTTCTCTAGTTATATATTTCTATCATTTCCCACATAATAGAGTATGGTGATTAAATTACCATTTTTCTGGCAGGATGGTCCAAATGGAGCACCGACTACATCTGTGTCTGGAGTAACAGAAATTAAGCAGACAGTCGTAAAAGAGAGTGGTAATGCAAACATTGAGGTATCTGCACATAAAGTATTCCTCCTTGGTGAGAATCGATGGGAAGATTCATCTAGGTTAACAGGCAGGAATAAGCCCATTAGCGGAAATGCCGTAGTATCTTCTACCAAATGCCTTACTTGTCGTGGAGAAGGCCGTTTAATGTGCACAGGTATCTGCTACTGTCTTCACCTTTTGCCATAATTATCTTCAAATAGCTAACTTCTTGTGTGGGAAACCAAGATTAAATGAAATAACATCATTGAACAAGCCACTGAAGTAAGCAATAAGCAATGTATCACCTCTAACAGCAATATTTGGAGAATATCTCAGATTCTCACTTAGATTCCGGGATAAACTGAAAATAGTTAAATCAATAAAATGGAAACAGGTTTCCTGTGACATTTCATTTGATCTGACCTGTTAGTTTGTTTTGTAATTCAGATATGATTTGAAGTTTCTAAGAGATTTTTGACATTGATGTCCTTTTTTATTGTGAGCCTGTTTCTATACTCTTTCATCTCAACTCCTGCCAAGTTTACCTGATATTGAACTCTGGTTGCATGAATTTAAACTAGTGGAACCAAGAATATTCTTCATTTTCTTTTGGAGAAGTTGCCACAATTTTACACCATTTCATTATTGATAATGTTGCAAGAAAACTACAAATGGTAAGAGTATTTGGCTTGCACATAATATTTCCTTTTGAGAAACAAGTGCAGTCTTGCGTCTTTTCCATGATTTTAACCTATGCCTCCCCTTTGTTAATCCTACCCATTTACCATGATACCAAGCCGCAAGTGGTTTTCTTTTGCGTAGTTGGCTTGCAAGGTTTGATGCGATCCCGGGTACTGCAGTCTAGAGTTTGACAGTCTTTTTAATAGTTTGTTGCTTTTCTATTGGAGCCTTCATAACATGGTTTTGCACCCTGTTGCAGACTCTAGTTTGGTAAGAAAAGGCTCAAGAGGAATTTGATTATGCATTAATTTTATCTCTTACTGTTTTCACTAGTTTATCCAACCTTTAGTATTGACAGAGTGCATATGAAATGCATTTCTCCAATAGGGTTTTTTGGATTAATTGCAAATACAACCCTGTACTATTGGAGGTTAGCCATTTATTACCCCTAAACTTTTCCCTTAGACCCCAGGATCGTCCGAACTGTTGTGTCTCCGCTATCTGTACCCTTCACTTGGGTGTTGCGTGGTGCCAATCTTTTGAACAGAGATTCATTGATAATTTCGTATGTTGCAGAGAGACCCTCTGTTCTTTTATAGGCGTTGAACCCTCTATAGTATAGGGGGATAGGTAATGGAGAGAGAAGAATATTTGGGTATCAGAGGGGCTGCTAGGTACTAAAAATACAGGGGCGTCTATTGCGATTAACTCTGTTTTAGTCTGAACCATCGGCAGTTGCATGCAAATCTCCGTACATTAAATTTAAACTAATTGGCAATTAATTTCTGCTGAATATTTATTCATCTTCTTCCTTTCTCAGAATGTGATGGGTCTGGGGAGCCAAATATCGAACCACAGGTCAGAAGAGGCTTCAGGCTTGCAGCTACTACTCACATTACACTTGTTTTTGATTTTTCATCATTAGCGATTATGCATCTTCTTGAGATACTTAACTCACGTGCAGTTTATGGAGTGGATAGATGAGGATGCAAAATGCCCATATTGTGAAGGACTTGGCTACACCATCTGCGATGTTTGCGAAGGGAATGTCTCCGCTGCTGGCCAGAACTAGTTGAAACCTGTGAACAATTACACTGTATATGTGACGCATATACGCCCAGATTATTTCCACTAGAATGCATACGGATGTAGGAAGTCAGTTAATTTGGTCTGTCCACCAACCGAGCTTAGGTGTACATTTCAATATTTCAGCTGTAAATATTGACGATCCAATTGACCCCACCGATCTGTAGTTTTTGCGTTGGCAAGAGGAGAACATTTGAGACCACACCAACAGATATATGGGACAGTAACTGCCAGGGGAAAGCTTGTTCGAAGATACTTAATTTGCTATTTTTGCGTTCTTTTTTCTCTTCTATTCCTATAGTTTTCTGATCTTTTTCCTATTTATGTATTTATGATGAACGCAGACCGCCTGATAGTGATTTCCAAATGCGGTCTTCTTTTGCAAATTTTGACGTCTTAAATCTGTCTAATTCAAAGCCCATCACAATTGCTACTTTCACACAAGCGGCGAGATCGTTGATGACCGGAGCGTCTGGGGATTTAGCCTGACGTTGGTCAGATGAGAACACTGATGAATAATTTTGATATCAATAACAAGGGATTCTAATGTAGACGTCTTCGGTCTTCCCATATGCAAACAAAGAGACAATAATAATAATAATAATAATAACGAGTAAATATAATTTCAAAGTTGAATTGACCCCTTCTCAATCCAAGTCAAAACCCAAATTGGTCGGTCAAATCAAACCCAAATTGACCCCTTTCTCGCAGCAAAGTAAACGGGCTCCTGACACGGAAAATGTGCGCGGCGTGCGCATACCTTCATCGTCATTAAATTAAATTAAATTAATTAATACCGGAAGCTTCTGAATTGGGACGAAACGGCCCCCTCTTCAACGGATTGGGATCCTCTGACCCATTCAGATCTTTGACCATCCTCACCACATCTCTCTGTCTCTGTCGCCATCTTCCTTCGTTCATAAATCAATAGATGTATATATAAAAACCCCTCCTTTCTTTGTTTCTGAAGGATTTATTAGGGATTTCTCCAGGATCCATCAGAAATCAAAGAGAGGAGGAAGAACCCAAATTTTTTTGGGGGAAAAAGAAAACGAAAATCCAATCTTTTTTCTTAGACGATGCCGCCGTTCTCGAGCATCCGATCGCACCGCTCCTCCGTCGACCCCCCGAAGAGACCCCGCGCTCCAACATCGTCACCCTTCAACGTCGGCGGCCAGATTATTTCAAGACCACCGCAGACCCTAGCCGCAGCCGGGCCCACCTCCGTCCTCTCGACCCCCCTCCCTTACATCGACCGCGACCCCACTCTCTCACCTCCTCTCCTCCCTCTCCCCGCCAACCAAATCGCCTCCCCTCCTCTCCTCCTATCCGGCCTCAGCGCGCTTCTCCGCCCTCCGATCTCATCTCCGAGGCCAGACTTCTACGAGACGTCGACTCCTCGCTGCTCTCCAGCATCCCCCCACTTCCGGACGCCCTTGGACCTCTCCAGGGTCCACGATCCGCCCCATCAAACGTGCCGGCGATTCCCACCGCCGACTCCACCGACGCCTCCGGCGCGTCCACGTGGCCACAGCGGCCAAGATCACGTCTTTCGACTGGTCGCTCTCGAAGAGATCCACCGTCACTGCACTAGGGCTCCCCGCCGTGATTCCACTCCTCGCACCTTGACGCTCTGTCGTCGCCGCGGCGCCGTTGAACTTCCCGGGTCCAGATCTTGGGACCTCGCGGCTCGTCCGCTGGAGAAGGACCGCCCCCTAAATTGGGACGTCAACGGATCCGCTGCCGCCGTCCAGGGCATAGGATCCTCGCCCGAGTACCTCTTCGGGAGCTTCGAGTCTGTTCGCAGGAACTCGAGCGCCGTCGTGGTCTTTGACCGCACGAATTTTAAGAAGGTGGGCGAGATTGGGTGGAGGGAGGTGTACGGCGCCGAGCTGGACTCTGCCATCCCGGCCACCAAGCTCAAGTGGGTTAACGGGTTCAATCTCTTGCTCGCATCCGGTTCGCATGCGGGCCCGTCCGGGCTGACGGGAAATATCCGGTTGTGGGATGTGAGGTCCGGCGCGGTGGTGTGGGAGGTAACAGAGAAGGAGGACTGCTTCGCTGATGTGGTGGTGTCGGAGAGCTTGTCGGCCATTTTCAAGGTGGGTGTGAACTCCGGGGAGGTTTTTATGCGCGACTTGAGGAGGTTGAGCGGCGGCTCCACCGGGAGGAGGATTGGATTTGTATGCATGGGAACAAGGTGGTGGATGCGAACGCTGACAAGAAGAAGAAAGAGGGGAGTGGTTGTTTGGTGGAATGCCACGGAGACAAGGTGTTTGTGAGCAGGGGCGGGGACGTGGAGATATGGAGCGAGGTTCTGATGGGTGGCGGGACGAGGAGGAACGAGGATGGTGGGGAATCAGGGGAGAGGGTGATGAGGAAGAATCTTATGGGAAGGAGAGAGGACGTGGGCGGGAAAAAAATTGTTAGATTAGGATTTGGGGGAAGCAGGATGGTGGTTTTGAGGAAGGAGGAGCAAAGTGTGGAAGTGTGGGACACTTCATCATCCAGGGGTTAGCTTGGAACCAATGATTGCCCTAAATGGTGTTTCTACCTGTACAAATTGTGCTAAAAGTAAATTTTTTCATATTTTCTGCTTGAGATGAGATTTTCTATTGTCATTAGTTCTCGCATATAATTGCCTTCAAATATACATGTATGTCTTTTTTTCTATCTACATGACCACAAACATCATTTCACAATCTTTGAAATGTCTTTAAATGCTCCCTAAGTGCGCCATAATCCCAAATATGGGTCTGAGGGTTCCTATCCTTTTTACAAAGCAGTGTATCACTATTACAAGGATTTGTGATTGTTAGATTTGTACACAATATGATAAATACAGACCAAGAAGTGTTTTCATCTGCAGGTCGCTTCTCATTCACTTTCTACTTGCAACTGGCCAGCTTGTGATCTAGATCTTCTTATTGAATACAAGCGTAGCTTGTTATTCACCTAATTTCAAGTCAAATTTTTTGTTGCGTGTCATGTTCTGCTGGCAAGAAGAGAAGTATTACTGCTCATAAAGATTTGATGAAGGCAGTTATCAGCAAAGTACTCCATAGTTTTGACGAGAGCAGGTATTAGCAGAATGCATTAGTCACAGTTTTGACAATTTGGTGACAATTATTAATTCATTTTTTTTTGGATTTTGAATTATTTAGACAAAGATCAAAGATCGGTCTTAATTATAACTAGTAAGTCGTTACCAGATTTGAAGCACAACTTGAAGAACAGCAGCACATTGGTTGATCAAATGATCAAGAGGGAATTTTCTTACCCATATGGCCATACCAAAACCCAGAAACTTAATCTTTGTGTATGATAGCATCCATATGCTTTAATTAATGTTATAATGCTCATTTTACTTTGGACATGTTTGAACCTTGCTTAAGTCAATGGTATGGACGTCATTCTCTTGAAGCGGCTTCGATGGTTCCATATACTTTCTATGTTCTCATTGCACCAAGTAGTGCACAAAAGAGCTTGCTTAGATGATTATGAAGTCGGGGAACTGCAAGTCTATTTGATGACCTACTTTTCTTGTGTACATATATCTGTGCACGAATGTGTGTGCTTACATTCCACATGAAATTTTGGTTTTCATTTGAGTAAAAAACGTGATACGCCTACGCGCGCTAGCTCAATGGGGATGTTTGGAACTCTGGGTACATTGTTAGAGCATTTGGTTTTTTTTTCTTTTTTTTTTCTGTATGGAAGCAGCATCTTATATCGAAAATGTATAAAAACTAAAATTTCACAAACAACAACTCATAGGCAGTTTAGTCACAGTTATTGTAATTGACTAATAGTACCGAAGTGTTTTAAAGTCTGACAGAAGTGAGACCAATATCTCAAATCAAATTGGGGATACAATGCATGCAAGAATCATGATGGCTTGAATTACAATGGGGGTGTATGGTTCTCACTTCTCAAGAAGGCTACTTGGACTGAAAATTTGGTTCTTGGGAGGGACACGTTGTATACAAATGATAGCGTTCGATTTGAGGGCAAGAAATATTGGATGCCAATTAGCTTGTGTCACCAGGGTTGATTACTGGAAGGGTGATATTAGGCTGGTAGACTGGTAGTCAATAGTTTGCATTTGTTCTTTGTTGATTCAAAGTGTTAGATGTGGAAAAAATTATCGGTGATGTTTAAGCATCTACATGCTTAACAGATATTTTAGCTGTTTAGGTTTCAGAATGCAATCAGCTTGCTAACTCTGCTTATTCCTTCAAAGGAAGTATTTTGGTTTGAAGCTTTTATTGCAGAATGCAATCAGCTTGCTAACTCTGCTTATTCCTTCAAAGGAAGTATTTTGGTTTGAAGCTTTTATTGCGAGGAATTGTGTCATGATAGTTCACGCTTATTCCTTCAAAGGAAGTATTTTGGTTTGAAGCTTTTATTGCGAGGAATTGTGTCATGATAGTTCACGACGTCTATATTAAATGCAGAATGGTTTGTTGTTGTTGCCATGGCATCCAATTCAGATAAGGCTTGGCGAAAGTTGATAATGTTTGATTATCAAGCAATGCAGTAATGATTTCAGTAGAAATCATTTCTGTATAGTCAGTTTATATCCTGTCTGAAATTTCCACTTTTTACCTGGGCAGTGGAGGATTTGGTTCTGATTACGTCAGTTAACCCGTTGGTGGCCAGAGTTTTATTGAGATTCTCAAGTTAAGAAAACATTGGACTTGAGAAAACCTGAAAAGGTAACATGGACTACTAAGTGGCAACTTCTCGGAGTATTTTTTTTTTCTTCCTCCAGGGAAGTAAAATTTGCTATGTTGTATTTCGATTTGCAGGAGGTAAACCCATGGACTGAGCTGGATGGTGGAATTGTTTTCTCAAATGCAGATTAAGGCAATTTTCGTGTAACTAATTTTCAAATTTTGTTTCTTGGATATGGCTGATGTGGATAAATTACATTCTCAGCATATGCCTTTTCTAATATTTGGTGCGTAATGTTTTCTTTCAATATTTTTCATTGGTCAATCTTACTCTCTCATTTGCATGTTGCTACTTATGATCAGAATATTGTTTTCAGGAGTATTAATTGTCAACCAATGGTTTATGCTCATCTATACAAGTTTGGTACCTAGGTTCAGCCACCAGTTTGGCATAGTTATAATATTTATCTGTCTTTATATTAAGATATATCTTATTCGGTGGTTCTTCATAAATGTTAAATGGGAGGATCGGTAAGTGGTAAAGAGATGATTGACAAAGGGTATATCAGGGGTATACAAATTGACCCCTTTTTGCGGAAATTTCGTACCTTGCATACAATTTCCAGCATGCGACCCGATATTTAAACTATCAATGGTTCAGCCTTTTGGTGTCCTAGACAATTTCCTTTATTGATCTTACGTAGTCTAGTTTGCTAGGTAATTAGAAGGAAGATAACTAACTTCAGTTTGTATGTACCTCTGAAGGAATATTGTTAGATCCTAGGAAATTTCTCATTCATTTTTTTGCATGTCCTTGTGCACAAATGCACATTACCTTCATGTTTTGACGTAGAACACATTTTATCTTTTAACAGTAAGTGAGTACCTCAACATCTGTAAGTGCTGCTAACATCTTCTCTATTTGTATAGATTATCATTATAGCAGAAATAATATTTGATGACCTGCTTTTCATGTGTACATATATCTGTCCATGTATTTATGCCTGCATACATTTGCATGAAAATTTGTTTTTCCAAATCTTGAAAGATGTTGCACCGATTTTGGTAAAATTCCCATTTATATTCCCTGCTTCACTTGTGTGGAGCCTGAGTTTGTTAGATTTCTTCTTTGCTGTCCTTATTAAGGACGGCAGAGATAGGGTTCTGAATTTGTAGCTCCTAAAAATGTTATTTATGGAAATAACCTTAAAGGAATATAAAAACGAGGGAGGAGATGTTTTATTTGAAGCAAACAAGGTATGTACGATTACATTCTGTTCGCCTTTTAAAATTCCATACATATGCACATTCGAGTTTATTTTTAGCTTTGATGTCTCTCTGCTTTAGTATGCAAAATTTCTAATCGTTATTTTAGCATCTTTCTTTTACCATTTTCTGGATACTGTGATTAATTTTGTAATGCATCCATTTTGCATGTATGGTGCATCTTAGTGTGAATTGCTCAAGTTCAAATTGGCACTCATTCATAGACTGATGCACTGTTAATTTTATGGCACTCATTCATAGATTGATACACTGTTAATTTTATGACTACAATAGTTGTCTAGTAATTATGTAGAAAGGAAATTTATGTTGATAGGAAGCAGAACCAGAATGATATGTTAGGCAACTGCTGGTTTATTTATTTGTGCACAAGGACTATCTGCCATCGATTAGTTATGCATGTAAAATTTGTGCACAAGGACTAATAGGAAATTTATGTTGATAGGAAACAGAACCAGAAATTTGATCCTGTTAGTTATGCCTGTAAAATTGAAACTGTTGGATCTTCTACTTAGGAACTTTAAACGAATGTCCAGAGAAAGCGGTTTATTTAATTTACAAACATCAGAATTTCTAATATCATTGATGTTTTCCTTATTCTTTTTTTTCCGGTTCGAAACTTCTCGGACCTAATGGTGATCTTCTAAACGTCTGGGAATCTTCTTGTTCTTGGACATTTATGGAAGTCAATGCTTATGCTGAGGCTGCATCTAATTTAGTTGCAGGAAGTTATCTTGACCATGCTGTTGATCATTCGATGGACATAGGCGATATTCTCCCCTCCAGTATCCGGGCATACCTGCAGCAGACGAAGGTGCGGCTCCCGTAGCTCCAAAACTCAAAAGAAGCTGGGACAACAGGGTCATCACCTCTAAGCATGTTCCCACAGGTGAAGTAACTGCCCTATTAACACTATCAGGTAACTATTTGTTCGCAGCATTTCGGTTGATCTTATCATATAATATCAATAGGTGCCTGGGGACGGAGGATCTCTAGACTTCCTGAGAATTAAACAACCCACAGGTTTTTCACATCCTTCTCCGCATACTGCTTCTGATTTTATTGTGGAATTTGTTCCTACCGGTACGTCTGTCATAAAACATTTTGACATTTAGCTATTGCCTTTTGACAACTAAGACTAGCAAGTCTCCAGTGTATCTCAGTGATATTCTAATTTAAATCACTTAAATCATTTTCTGTAGATTCATGGGTGACATAGTTCAGGCTTTATCTACCGGTGTCATGAGGTGGAATATGCAAAACACAAGCAACGCAAACAAAGTTTACTGGTATTCGATATATAGCATTCACCAATACTTCGTTTAATTTCTTTGACAATTTAAACCAGTCCACATGTACTCTGTCACTAAAAAAGTTGGAAGTCATATATTTTGTTTTACGAAATAGTCACAAAAAAAAAAAAAAAAAAATCAAACACCCTGGGGTACGGTATCTTCTGTAGTTACAAGGCTGAATAGCATGCATGAGAAACTACTTGTATTCTTATACAAGTGTGGTTATCGACTCGTCGTGCATGACCTGCAGTTAAGAGTCTACTAGTCCCTATCCGATCGCTTGCTTAACCTACTCTTTGCTATATTTGGAAGTTCACTCTTGGCTATGCCATAATTTTACCCGGGGGGTTACCTGCAATTTACCCTTACTAATTTGATCTCTCCCTTTTTTTTAGCACCTTGTTCAACCTTCAGTACTAACGGACTTCGTCGCGTTTACATACAAATGGCCGTGCATATCTGAAATCTTAAAATGATTTCGGGAGTAAGCTGTTCTGCACGCTGAAATATTTATCCGTTCTGCCAGAGAGAGAACGCGATGGATCTGGGGAGCCGATGGATCTGGGGAGCCGAGCGTCGAACGTGACGGATCAGACGAGGCTTGCAGCCGTGGCTTGCATTGCGCTGGCCTTAACTTCACGGATCTGGGGAGCCAACATTTTGACATTTTTAGTTTATGCAAACAATGATTATGTGACAAATAATACTCAATATTTTCGCCAAAATATATACGGGTGTCGTGGTGTGGATGGTGATTTTGTCGCTGGATCAGTAATGGGCTTGCTTATATTAACTCGACATGTCTGAGCCCTATTTCCGTCGAAAGCCCATCTGTCTGAACCCATTTCACACGAACGCCGATTTTTTTTTCACTCACCCCGTTGTCGATGTTCTAGATCTCTTTAATGAGGCTCATTTTAAACGGATACCGAGCTCGGACAACAAGCCCATTGACAAAAGTCCATCCCTCGCAAAAAGGCCGTTATAAAAAGTTCCCTTATATTATCACATGCCTGCTTTGGTTGGTAACTCATTTTACTGAAATCTGCAAAAGCCCAGTTGTCAGAGAGTCCAGCCCAATTGTCACCCATGAGCCCCCCCTCCGATTTCATTACTTCATGTTATGCGGGCTGCTATATAAATTTTCCAAGTTGTAACATATAAAGTGTAATTGTGTAATATTAATTAAGGAAATGAAAGTAAAGTAAAAATAGAATGCACAATACTCAAGACTTATAACGCTGTTGTATTGATTATGTTGGCATGTTGATTTCAATAGGTATAAGTTGATTTCGGCCTAAAGGTTATATTGTAAATTAGAAATACGTAGTAAAATTGTAATTATAAAACTTATTATTTGGAACTCGTTGCAATCGATACGGGACGGGGAGAGAGGAATAGTGTAGTTAGCGAAAAAGTTAATAAATAAATAACATAGAGAAGATCAAAAAGCCAATTGTCTAAGAATTTGCCAAACGAAAAGTAAGAATTTTATTTTTACTTAATAATATCCCTCCTCCTAAAGGCGCAAAACAATAATGACACATAAGCACACGAAACAATGCCACGCATCGTTTGTTATTTTAATATTAAATTAGAATTTTTATATGATTGGATTTATTTTTCATAATTATAATTCTTATCAAATTAAATCTATCTAGAATTAGACAGTTCTAATTATAGTAAAAAAATTGGCAATCCTAATCAAATCATACGTATCCATAATTTAAAAAAACTAATAATTACATTTTAAATTCTTTTCTCTTTTGCATGTAAAGAAGGATTTACAATTAGCTTTATACTTCAAAAAATTGTCACATGGCTCTTCTCAAGTATTAAAATATAAATTTCACTAGTTTGAAACTAGGCCCACAAATTTTTTTCAACACTTTGATAAGTTTTTAGAGTTTTAGAAAAGCACCGAACCTATAAAATTATAAACAACTCCTAAAAAATATATATATTTCAAATAGCCCTCTCAATAATATAAAACTACAAACAACCCACTAAAAAAAATCTAAAGATTACAAACTTAAAATTTTAGAATTAGAAAGGACCCGTGAAAAATTTAAAAATTACAAACCACTCCTTAAAATTTTAAAATTATAGATAATCCCATGAAAACTCTAAAACCTACAAACAAATACATTAAAATACAAAAATTATAAACAACGCTGTGAAAAATCTAGAATTTCAAAAAGCCTCCAAAAAAATTTAAAATTGCAAGAAGACCCTAAAACCTCAAAAAAATACAAAGAACTATCCAAAAACTATAATATTACAAATAATGCTCCCTACAGAAACAAAAAATTAAAAACAACCCTTTTAAAATCAAAAAATTAGAAACACCCTTTTGAAAAATTTGAAAATTACATGCAAAAAGCGATAAATAGTCATTATTAGGTTATTTATGAAAAGTTATCGGGGTTAACAAAACTAAAAATTTATTGGGTGTTATTTTCCAAAATTTATTGGCGTTATTTTGATCATTTTACCGCACAAACTTATTACAAGAGGTAGAGTTTTCACATGGATAATTTTAATCTTATAGCTGTACTATCATTTTTCCAAAACCATCCACAAACTTATTAAAGGAGGCATGTTTCCTTTTTTTTAGAATATTTACAAAAAAAAGGTATATTGTAAAGGAGGGCTTGGTGGTTAAACCATCTAATTGGAATTTCAAAATTAATATAAAATTACCCATGTCCTTATTTTACAGTTTCCTTAGAAGAAAGGAAAAAATTCGGACTCAAGTTATTTACTTTTGAAGCAGAGTAGCAGTAGCAATCTAAAGAGGAAAATAATCAATACAATTCAATTCAATTTTTTCAAGCAAGACCATGACAAAAAAAATGATATACGCATGTGTAGACAGATAATACGAAAAAGAAAGATTATCACCCCCCTATCCCTCTCCTACCCACCCCATAAATGTCATGGTACGTACGAAACATAAATAATTAAATAAAAGAAGAAAAGGACGTACTGTCGTTATTAGAGTCCACAATATAGACGTCACAAGAATTTGATTCAAATAGTTCCTCCACATATATACGAGGTCAAGAGAATTCTAAATTAATAAATATATCCATGATTTCATGAATAAGGCTGTTTGTTTGTCTAAAAAAAGAGGGAAATCAAAGAATAGGAAACCTATTTCTTAGAAATTTTATTTTGATGTTGTTTGGTTGGAAAAAAAAGAAGGAAATTAAAGAATAGGAGATGAGATGAGATGAGTTGTCATCATTTTATTGGATGATGTGAGTGATTTTTTAAGAAAATTTGTTTTGAGGTTGTTTGGTTGACTAAAAAAAATAAGGAAATGTATTATAAGAAACATATTTCCTATAATAGGTTCTTTTCTTGTGTTTGGTTCATTCTTAAAAATAAGAAAATAGATGAGATGAGATGAGTTGTCATTATATTATTGGATGATGTGACCCACACTTAAGGAAATCAATTTCCTTGTTTTTTTGGAGGAAATGGGTGGAGATGAAAGTTTAAGGAGATGAGATGAGTTGTCACCATATTATTGGATGATGCGATTGATTTTTAAATATGAGATGGGATGAGATGAGATGAGTTGGATGGTGTGATGATAAAAATAATATTTTATTAGATGTTGGATGATAAAAGTAATATTTTATTGGATGAGTTGGATGATAAAATAATATTTTATTAGATGAGTTGGATGATAAAATAATAAATGAGTTGGATGATAAAATAATATTTTATTAGATGAGTTGGATGATAAAATAATATTTTATTAAATGTTGGGTTAAGTTTTAGGGATGGAAATGGTTGAAAATAGGAAATGGGAGATTTCCATACTCCCATTTCCTATTCTTGGTTTTTAGGAAACCAACCAAACAGCCCAATAGGAAATGGGAGATTTCCATACTCCCATTTCCTATTCTTGGTTTTTAGGAAACCAACCAAACAGCCCATAAGAATAAGGACTGTCGATTTCATCCCACCAAATAATAATAATAATAATAATAATAATAATAATAATGACTGTCAGTCTGTCGCTATAGAGTCGACAATCTGCGAGAAAACGAGTATAACCTAATCTACTTAAAAGAGTTCAAAACGAAGTTCAGCGTAACCGATTCCAATGTAAGCTAAAATATGCACAGAGGGTAAGATTTTTATTTTTTTTCCCCCATTCTTTCCCTCTTCACGAAAGAGCTTTTCTCCTTGCTCTTTTCTCATTTCACGATAATTAAATTTATACATCTAGATTTTTTTTTTTGAAGGGGGAAGGATCGATAAAGTTCAATACTACCTTAAGCGAATAGTTGATGCCTCCGGCAAAATTCTAGCTCTTGGATGGATGGAAAACACGACCCCAAATATAACAATATTGGTCACACTCTAAGATCGTCATTCCAATTCCATGATATTGATATGTAACATAAAGAGAATGGACAGGCGAGCGATGTAACACATTATAGGGAAGTTATCTAGCTGGAGAAACATATGCACTTATTTTTCATTAGACATCATCACCAAAAAAAAAAAAAAAAGAATCTAAAATTAAGAAGCTCGTCCAAATCACCCCTGTCCATTGCATTTATCGTTGGCCATGCGTGACGTTGACAAATATTCCTTTTCGTTACCAAGAAAAAAGTTTCGTCAAATATAAAGATTATTCGCAGATATCGTCACAAAATGACAAGTTACTTACTGCCTTAAAAAACATGAAAAGTGTAACATTGACTTTTTAACATTTCTATGTACACGGCAAAATCTACAAAACCTGATTTCATTGTCAGTAACCTGTAAATTCTCAGCATATTCAACCAGTGGCGGATCTGTTCTTGTTCAAAGTGGTTCATTTGAACCACCTCAGATATGTTAGTTTGTAGCCTAGTGGTATAAGCATTAGCTTACCTTCAAAGAGGTCAAAGGTTCAAAACCTCCTACAGCTCTTTTATGTTTCTAATTTCTCCTATAATCCTTATTTTCTCTTTACATTTCTACTTTCTCCTATTTTCTCTTTATTATTATTTGTTTATTATTTTAATGCTTTCCTTAGTAGTATTTGAAAAAAAAATTAGCGTTAATTTCGAACCACCACACGAGAGGTTGTGGATCCGCCACTGTATTCAACACGCATCCATGCATGGCGTTTGATCAACTTGCCGGCCTCTGTGATGTTTGATTTCGTTTGGTAATTAACAACCGACAAGAGAATCTAAAATTAAGAGAAATTAATCAACAACTCGATCTTTACAAGTTAATCAGATGAACTTGGTTCACACAATGCTAGCTGCTCCTTTCTTTCGCAAGAGATTGCCGTGTAGACCTTTTCTATATATCTATAGCATTTGAAAAAAAAAGGTACATGCATAGGTTGATTTCATAATGATTTTCAATCAACGTGTTTATATCTCGTTATATACCCAAAGGGTGACCCAAAAAAAAAAAAAAAACTTGGCACGATAATCATAAATAGCAGCAGCATAAGACTCATGGAAGCTGATGCGGATGTGGATGTTTACCGTTGGGATGATAGCAAAGATGTACATAAAATTTTTGTGTGAATTGAAGTTCCCTGAATCTGCAGAATTTCACAAGATCCATCAAAAATCATCATGAGGAAACGTCTGAATTAAGCCACTTCTGATCACCGCCCTTATCCTTTGCATTTCCCACACCAATACGTACGTGGCATTGAAGAAATATTCCGTATCATTACCATGAAAATTTCAATGTAATTAAAGATCATTCATACATATTGCTAAAACTGCACTGCACGTTATTATTCAATGGCTTAAACACGTACACAGTCTTATGACAAGGCCTGATAATGGCATGTGTGGACCAAATTATGCAGCTTCTCATTACCACCAGTTTCCATCTTTTGCTTTTATTAATCGATCGTCTACTGATTTCCCTTTAATTTACTGTAACTTTAAACATTACCTTCGACAAAATGTACAAAAGTCTGACTTCACTGTCACTAGCCTGTGAATTCTCAACACCTTCAACAAGCAACGCATGACTTATTAACTTTCGTGTGATATTTGATTTTTCCTTCAACGATATCCACCCCTAGCTAATCTCTATATAAACCTCACTGCATTAAGCTCGTAATAACATAGAAGATATAAAGTGCCTGCAGGATAACTTAACAAAGATTCAGGAGCTGCACAAATTAAAGGGTGGGTTTTGAAATATGGAGTTGAAGAAAGTTTTCGCATTTGGTTTGCTTTTTGAGCTCATATCTCTGGCTACTGGCCTGGATCGAAGTGATTTCCCTTCTTCATTTCTCTTCGGCACCGCAACTTCATGCTATCAGGTAAAGAATCATCACGAGAACACTTTTTTTTTGTCATACAAACTGTGAAGTATATGGAATGGAGAGATACAACTTCACACTTTCTGATCAAACCTGCAGTATACTTTTCTTTTCAGAAAATAAATTTACTAACTTCTTTGCGAGCGGGTTTTGTGCACCGCATTTTCTTTGATAAGAATGAGCTGGAGGTTTTCTACCCGCGAGCGGGTTTTGTGCACCGCATTTTCTTTGATAAGAATGAGCTGGAGGTTTTCTACCCGCGATGCATCGTTAAAGTTGCCAAAGTTGCTCAAAATACCTAATAAGAATGAGCTGGAGGTTTTCTACCCGCGATGCATCGTTAAAGTTGCCAAAGTTGCTCAAAATACCTATGGGTGTGACTATACGTATGAGAAACTTTTTAGCATACATTTGGCTGTCCATATAAATTCCAGGATGGCTTTGGGATATCAATTTACAGACACATCCTGCTACAACCTCGTATACAGACGTTTGTATTCGAAAAGTATTCGAAGATATTAATTTTCAGGAGTGCTCACCTAGTTATTTTGTTTTTTTTTTCCCAGATTGAAGGTGGATATCTAGAAGGCAACAAAAGTCTGAACAATTGGGACGTCTTTACTCACATGCCAGGTAAAATTTTATTAACATTAATTTTTGCATAATTTATTATATTTCGAATATTCCTTTGCTGACCAAGACATGGAAACATTCAATAGTACAAACAGTAATTTTCTTCTATTGTAACCCCCTAGCTCAAAAAATAAAATAAACAAATAAAAACCCGTCGCGTGCATTACTTCTTTCATAATCTTGTTCCCTTAAATTTTGGTGTTTTATCAGCGCGTGCATTACTTCTTTCATAATCTTGTTCCCTTAAATTTTGGTGTTTTATCAGGAAATATCAAGGATGGGAGCACTGGAGATGTTGCTGATGATCACTACCACCGATACATGGTCCACATTTTAATCATACCGTATAGAAATAAATTATTTAATCAAGTTCTTGTTACATGATATCCTCTGAGTTTTCGCCCCTTTTTTCTCAAATTAGATTCTGTCATCTGCCGCCCCCAGATATTTTGCTAGGCTATATATTGCAGATCTAGTCAAATTTTAGAATTTAGCTGGTTGAAAAAATTGGGGAGCTGACTAGATGAGTAACATGAACAGGAAGATGTGGAGCTAATGCATTCCCTAGGAGTTAACTCTTATAGATTTTCGATATCATGGTCAAGAGTATTACCAAGTAAGTTCTGAACCTACCATTAACTATATGTAGGATTCCCAACGAAAGCATGAAGGTATGCATCTTGTTCCTTGACACAGGAGGCAGGTTTGGAGAAATCAATTCGATCGGCGTAAAATTTTATAACGACTTGATCGATGCCTTATTGCTCAAAGGTAGCATCTAATTTTAGGCTTAACAAATTTGCATGTGTTATTATCTTTTCTGATCATCTAGTGTTCACGTCCCCCCCCCCCCCCCCCCCCCCCCCCCCCCCCCCCCCACCCCCCCCCCCCCCTGATGACATTGAGCAGCATTCAACCCATTTTTACATTGAGCCATTATGACATTCCGCAAGAACTTGAAGACCGTTATGGCGCGTGGTTGAGTTCAGAGATAAGGTGCCATCCTTGTTTTGGTTCTGCTAAAATCCTCCGTGAGATTTCTGCTTGTAAATTTCACTTTCAGATGTTGGATATATAGGTTATGAAAATAACATAAATTCCTGAACTTGTCATATTGTTAGAGCTATCAGCAGCTACAAAATTTTAACAAATTAACATACAAAATTTTAACTCAATACCAAAAAAAAAAAAAAACAACCAAGTCAAAAGGTTTTCTTTTTCCATTTTTTCATGACAATTATATGAGACACTAACAGAATAAGCAGAACAAGAATCTTAAAAAAAAAAAAACACGAGTTCTTACCTCACGAGTCCCTTTCTTCTCTTGTTGAAGCGATGATTTTGGATACTATGCTGAAGTATGTTTCAAGGCATTTGGTGACAGAGTAAAATACTGGAGCACATTTAATGAACCCAATGAGATGGTGAAATACGGTTATTTCACGGGTGATTATCCTCCGAAACGTTGCTCAGAACCATTTGGTAATTGTTCTTCTGGTAACTCTGGTTTAGAGCCATACATTGTTGCACATAATGTGATCATGTCTCATGCTACCGCTGTGGAAGTGTACAAGAAGAGTTACCAGGTGCGTACTATATTATTAATATAAATTATATATATATATATATATATATATTATAATATATATAATATTTATTTTTATATATATATATATATATATATATGTCACCAAGTTATAATTTTTTTTGTCTGAAATACTTCTCAACTGATTTTCTGTTTTTATGTTTTTTAGGAGAAACAAGGGAGGATTTGATTTGGTATTGTGATGTCCATTGTAAAGTGGCTGAAACCACTTAGGGACATACCGGTGACAGATTGGCAGCTCAACGAGGTTTAGCATATCAAGTTGCCTGGTAAATATATGAACTACGCTCTCCAAAGAGACTATATGAAAATTCACAATATTATGTATATTATTACCTCTTCTACTCTCATATATCAATTTATTTTATTTTATTTTTTCTTCGTGTTATAGATGTTATTACAGCTGAAACATATTTATTTTTCTTTCTTCAACCATATTCTTTATCTATCTTTATTTTTAATGTGTATTCTGAATGCATTGTTCATATATTGAAAATTTGTGGAACACCAGTGAGTTTCTCCCTTGATTTTCCCCTAACACTTATTCGGGATTTTAGGTTTCTCGATCCTATAATTCATGGAGATTATCTACCCGAGATGCGCCAAGTCGCAGGCTCAAGGTTGCCACCAATTTCATCGGAGGACAGGAGAAAATTACAATACAAATTAGATTTCATCGGATTGAATCATTACACAAGCGCGTATGCAAAAGATTGCATGTTTTCAACATGTAAATTAGATGGAATTGAAAGTGATGGCTATTTTTACGTCACCGGCCGAAGAAACGGAAAACCAATTGGAGCTCCGGTGAGGAAAATAACATGATAAAAGTTATATTGTAGCTTATTGAAGGAACACAAGAAGGCTTGGCCTTCTCCATTCATCTCAGCTGAAATAAAGCATGTTAATATCATTCATTGAATTCTTAATTAACTGCAGACAGCAAAGCCAGATATTTTTGTTGTCCCTGATGGCATGGAGAGCATGATCAAGTACATCGTGCGAAGATACGATAATGTTCCCATGTTCATCACAGAAAACGGTAAATTTTACATCGACGCGAAAGTTCTTTAACTTCATCAGCTTTAAAGTATCAATGTAGTTCAGGAGCTGAAACTAAGGCGCTTGGGCTATCCATGATGCATGCAGGCTATCCACAAGGAAGCAATACAAATGCACCCACTGAAGATCTACTCAATGACAGCGATAGGATACGTTTTCTACAGAGCTACCTCAGTTCTTTAACTACAGCCATGAGGTACAGTACAATAAGGATAGTTGTTACATCACTCCATTTAACATTTCAGCTTTTATGAGTACACTTCTATTGTTAAGCCGTACACGTGTCAGACGCGTGGACGCCGCGCGTGTCTAGGGGTGGTAAACGAGTTGCATTACCCTAGTTCTAACAAAATCCGGATACCTTACTCACGTAAGCAGAACACGTACCCAGCCCTGTGACTAAATGGGTATGCATACTCGACGCATTGACGAGTAAATCAATATGAGTTAACAAGTTTGTAGGGTAGAGCAGACCAAATACAAAAACCCTGACCTGTCGCGTCTATTGCTGGGTTAGATGGATTAATCCAATTTCTTACAGGATTGGGTTTCAATTTGATACGGCTGGTCACAGTACTCGACGACACTTCCTCGTGCACGGGGTGGGTACAGCTAGCTTACAAGTTCATATAGATAAGAAATTGAATTTGCCTTCACAATTTCCCCGTGGGTTTCATTCTCTTTATATAGACAATTTGTACAAGGTAGGGATTACAACAAATCCTAACAATCAGATCCTATATAACAGCCCAATCCCTACAATCAAGCTATGCCATGATTTACATGCCTATAGGATTGCTAACTACCTTGTTTACAATCCCTACAATCATGCTATGATTTACATGCCTATTCGATTGGGCTAACTACCTTGTTTACATTCCCCCTCAATCTTAACCATGACAAGGTTCAGATTGTGTCGTAGGCGATCAAGCATGTAGCGAGTGGCTGGCTTGGTGAATCAATCAGCTACCTGATCTTTGGAAGATACAAATCGGACATCAAGAGTGCCCAATGCAACCTTCTCCCTGACAAAATGGAAATCCACCTCTATGTGCTTCGTTCGTGCATGAAACACTGGATTTGCTGTTAAATAGGTAGCTCCAAGGTTATCACACCATAATACTGGTGGTCGCGGCTGACACACATCCAATTCTTTCAGCAAGGATTGTACTCACGTTGCTTCAGCTGTCCCATTAGCCAAGGCCTTGTACTCAGCTTCAGTGCTGGACCGAGATACTGTGGGTTGCTTGCGTGAGCTCCATGAAATCAGGTTGGGACCTAGAAATACTGCAAAACCTCCAGTAGACCTGCGATCATCCATGCAGCCAGCCCAATCGGCATCTGTAAACACACTCAGAAGTGTAGAGTTGGAGCGCCGGAGGTAAAGTCCCGTAGCAGCTGTTCCCTTGACATATCTTAAGATACGTTTGACTGCCTCCCAATGTACATCAGTGGGCTTGGAAAGATATTGACATACCTTATTAACGGCAAAAGAAATATCTGGCCTTGTTAATGTAAGATATTGCAAACCTCCTACCATGCTTCGATATTTGAAAGCATCATCATCATCCAGCACTGTTCCACAATCACGAGCAAGCTTATCTGTGACAGACATGGGGGTTGAAACGCTCTTACAATTCTCCATGTGAGCTCGGTGAAGAAGGTCAGAAGCATATTTGTGCTGCATCAAGGTGATTCCCCCTGAATTGTAGACGACTTCAATCCCTAGAAAATAGTGCAGCTGTCCAAGATCTTTGATCGGAAATGAGGAAGACAGGGCGCGCAGCAACTGATCAACTGCTGATTGAGAAGAGCCAGCAACCACGATGTCATCCACGTACACAAGCATGTAGATAGTGACGCCCCCATGATGAAACAGGAAAAGAGAGGTGTCGGCCTTGGAAGACTGAAAACCAAGCTGGAATAATCTGTCGCTAAGTCGTGAAAACCAGGCACGAGGCGACTGTTTTAGGCCGTAGAGCGCCTTTTGGAGTTTGCACACATAATGAGGCCGACGGGAATCCTCGAAGCCAGGGGGTTGCTGCATATAAACTTCCTCATCCAAGAAGCCATGAAGAAAAGCGTTGCTTACATCAATCTGTCGAAGTTGCCATCCTCGTGACATAGCTAGGGCAAGAATCAAGCGAACCGTTGCAGGCTTCACAACCGGACTGAAAGTATCCTGATAGTCAACGCCATATCGCTGAGTAAAACCGCGTGCAACTAGCCTCGCCTTGTGCTTATCAATAGAGCCATCCGGGTGCTGCTTAAGTTTGAACACCCATTTACATCCGACTATATTAACACCAGCCGGCCGGGGAACGAGAGCCCACGTGTTGTTCTTCTGAAGTGCTTCAAACTCGGCTTCCATGGCAGTGCGCCAAACAGGCTCAGCGAGAGCCAGTCGATGTGAGGTGGGCTCGGCGAAGAAAGCACGTCTGTTCGGATCATACCGAACTGTTCCGTCGGTGAGCTGCTTGGGAAACGATTTTCCGGCACGACCACGTGTAGTGACACCATGTGGAGACTGAACAGGATCAGTTGGGACAGCAACATCGCTCGCAACAGCATGCGCGGGCACAAGGTTGCCGGGTTCTTGGGCCAGTTGAGGCCCAGGTGCAGGAGGTGGTGCAGCATCGATGCGAGGCGGAGGCAACGTGGGCACAAGGTTGCCGGGTTCTTGGGCCAGTTGAGGCCCAGATGCAGGAGATGGTGCAGCATCGACGCGAGGCGGAGGCAGCGAAGATTCTGGACCGGGAGGCGGTGTAGCAGGTCCAGGTGTAACAGGCCCAATGCTGCATGTGCCCGGGACGTGAATCACAGGCGTGGGTATGAGCGCCGGTGGTGGTGGAGCTGCAGCTGCATTTGAGGTGTTAGACAACAAGAGCGATAAGTCATAATTTCGCATATGATCATTTACAATTACCGGTTCAGACTGAGGAAAGGAAACAGCACTGGACAAAGAAGATGGTGCGACTGAACAAGGTGAGGTAGCAAACGGAAAACGTGATTCATCAAAGATCACATCACGTGATATGTAGATCCGTCCAGTACTTTTGTCCAAGCACTTATACCCCTTGTGCATGGCACTATACCCTAAGAAGACGCATAGTTTGGATCGGAAGTCAAGCTTATGAGAGTTATATTTGCGAAGACTTGGCCAGCATGCGCAGCCAAAAATGCGAAGAAAGGAGTAATCAGGTGTTACGTTGAGGAGGCGTGTGATGGGTGTAGAGTTGTTTAGAGTACGACTGGGCATGCGATTGATGAGATAACAAGCTGTCAAGAAAGCCTCATCCCAAAACCGAAGAGGAAGGGAGGAGTGCGCAAGGAGAGCCAAGCCTGTTTCAACGATGTGACGATGCTTTCGCTCGGCCACTCCGTTTTGTTGTGATGTATGGGGGCACGAAACACGGTGCAAAATACCTGAACTCTGGAAATATTTATTAAGCCGGTGATACTCACCACCCCAATCAGATTGAACAGTGCGGATTTTGGAATTCAAAAGTCGCTCAACATGTTTTTGGAAATTATAAAAGATTTGTTCAACATCAGATTTATTCTTAATAAGATAGATCCAAGTATAACGACTGTAATCATCCACAAAACTTACATAATACTTAAAACCTCCAGTAGATGCTTGAGCTGGCCCCCAAACATCGGAGTGAATAAGCTCAAGTGGAGATGTGGTGACACGAACAGAATTATTATAGGGGAGTTGATGACTCTTTGCACGCTGACATGCATCACACACAGAGGACTCATAATCAAAAGAACAGTCTAATTTATTTAACTTCAAGATGGACCTAACAATTGTGGAAGTAGGATGACCAAGACGCTGATGCCATTGCGATGACGACACCTTGACACTGGACGATGCATGATGGGAAGTGGTGGAAGAGGAGCGGCTGGACGGCACTGGATAAAGACCTCCTCTGCTCCTACCGCGTAGAAGCGTTTTCTTCGTGGCCTTGTCCTTAACAAAGAAAGCATCAGCATGAAATTCAATGAAGACATTATTATCAGAAACAAGTTTATGAACAGAGAGGAGATGCTTATTGATATGAGGAACATGAAGGATATTTTTAAGAGCAAGAGGACGATCTAAACCGGAAATTATAGAATGACCAATATGGGAAATATGCAAACCTGCTCCGTTGGCCACTTGCACCTGATCCTTGCCATGGTAGCGCTCCTGGATGGACAGCCGATCTAGATCACTCGTAAGATGATCCGTAGCACCAGTATCAATATACCAGTTTGTGTCACCGTTGTAGCCTCCCGTGGTCGCACTGTTTCCACCACGATATTCATCTGGCTGATAGGAGTGATTGAACCTGTTGCGACAGTTCAACGCAATGTGGCCTGGGATGCCACACACTTGGCAGCGAGGGCCACCATTGTTCCTGCCACGGCCGCGGCCTCGTCCGCGACCACCACCGCCGTTGCGGTAGTTATTCCTATGGTTGTTGTTGGTGGTGGTGTAGCCGTTGTTGCTGTTGTTGCGACGAGGAGCGTTGGATTCCTGGCGCGTGACGTTGTTGGCGGATGACGTGAACTCCGCCGTGCCGCTCATCAGCGTGGCTTGGGTCTCATGAGAAATCAGATAGGAGTAGAACTCCGGAAGAGTCACCGCACGCTGATTGCTCAGCACAGTGATGGCGGTGAAGAGATCACTATGGCCCGGCCCCAGACCGGCGAGTATGTAGCCGATCACCTCTTCATCGGACATGGGACGTCCAATGTGCGCCATAGTATCAGCGAGTCCCGTCATCTTCTGATAATACTCTGCTGCGCTCATGTCGCCCTTTCTCGTGTTCGAGAGCTGCGCGCGGATCTGGATTGAGTTCCCGCGGTGCTGAGCGGAGAACATGGTGTGGAGTGATGCCCACAACTGGCCGGACGTGTCGATCTGACGGATGAGTTGAGGCAGAACGTCCTCTGTCATTGAGGACAGGAGGCCACCAAGAATGGCCTGATCCTGGACGATCCAGGTAGCACGGGCAGGATTCAAGACCTGCCTTGCATCGGTGTCGGTTCCCTCAGTCACCATGGCGACGGGCATCGGTGTAGTGCCATCGAGGTATCCAAAGAGCTGGACACCCCGTAAGATGGGAACGACTTGCGCCTTCCAAAGCAAGAAATTGGTGCGCGTTAGTTTGCAAGTGATAGCAGTAGCGATGGTGGAAGACTTGATGAAAGAAGACATGGTAGAGTCGCTCGGGGAGGAAGCCAGGATGCCGGAGATTTGTGAGGCGCTGGAACCCGTCATGGTGATGGAGAGGGTAGATTGGAAAAGGCTCTGATACCAAGATAAGAAATTGAATTTGCCTTCACAATTTCCCCGTGGGTTTCATTCTCTTTATATAGACAATTTGTACAAGGTAGGGATTACAACAAATCCTAACAATCAGATCCTATATAACAGCCCAATCCCTACAATCAAGCTATGCCATGATTTACATGCCTATAGGATTGCTAACTACCTTGTTTACAATCCCTACAATCATGCTATGATTTACATGCCTATTCGATTGGGCTAACTACCTTGTTTACACATATGAGTTCATACTAACGACGATCATGTACTCTCTTTCAATGTAGGAAAGGAGCAGATGTGAGAGGCTACTTTGTTTGGTCTCTTATCGACAATTTCGAATGGTTGTATGGCTACACCTTGAGATTCGGGCTCTATCATGTGAATTACAATACGCAAGAGAGAACTCCGAAATTGTCGGCAAGATGGTACAAGGAATTTCTTGCAGGTTCAAGAATTCAACAGAAGATTTACGATGGCAAGAAACCGCAAGCATATCTGCACTGATCAACAAAATTAGCAGCGATGTATTGGATTGTATAAGACTTTATATATATATATGGTCTTGGCTAGCTGTAACCCAGTTTATATATGTAACTATATGTATTACGTACGCACCATAAAGATGGCAAAACTTTGAAGATTAATATATTAATTAACAAACTTATTGGTGTGCGTGTTCATGTTATTTATTGAAGTTTATACCTGAAATGGTCTAAATATTATGGGCTGTCTGGTTCGGGTTTTATTGTAGAACGGGGGAAGGAATGAGAATGGATAATGTCAGAATTCCCAAAAGTTATTCCATAGTATTCTTATTCTGAAGTTTGGTTCATTTCTATTTTATAGAACGGGGGGAAGGAATGAGAATGAATAGTGTCAGAATTCCCAAAAGTTATTCCATAGTATTCTTATTCTTAAGTTTGGTTCATTTCTATTTTATAGAGTGTGTATCCTATAAAGCGAAGAAAAAGGATTTTTTTTAATGGAAAGCAACATCCTTTCAAATTGAGAGGAATTGGGTTAGAATTCTGACACATACTAATACACATCATCCATTCTTATGTTCCTTTTCCATTTTTCATGGAATGAACCAGACACAAGAGTATAAATAATAGAACATTCCATCAACTTTTGATTTCCATAAAAAATTAAAGGGAAAGGCACGGAAAAGCCGCTTTACTACCCTATTCATGTTCCTTTCTTTTTTTACGGAATAGGTCTGAGATCTGATTTTGCATAAATATATATATGAGCTTATGTCAACTTAAGTGGATATATATATTCATTGGAGAATTTGTATAAACTCAACATCACTTCATAATAGTGCCTGATTTCCTTTGAACCTTAACCCTAATTCCCTATGAAGAAATTCCTAATTTCTTCCGGCTTAATTACCTCAAAACCCAGACCCTAATACTGAAATCCCGAGATATCAACAAAAACTAAGGGTGGAAATGAACCAAATAATTAATAAATGGTTCGATAATTGTTCGAATAACAATTCGGGCATATTCGATTCGGTAGTTCATTTACCACTAAACAAATACTTTTTAGTATTCGAGTTTATTAACGAGTAGAAATTAACCAGATGTATATTTGATACGTTTGTTTATTAAATATTCGTTTAAAATTTGATGACAACTTATTATTTGTATTATTGCACATATTGGTTTTAAAACTTAAATAATGTTAAATCTGTTTTCTAATTAAAATTTTAACTTAAATATATATATACATCATATATTATAAAGAAATAATTTCTATTTATAAATTTTTATATTATTTGAAAATTAAATTCTTTAGCAGAATAAATATAATTTGATATTCACCAAGTATTTATAAATATTCATGAATATTTATTAAATACTAAATATTCAAACTCGAATTCGAAAAATGACATATAAATATTAAAGTCCGCATTCGAATTAATTTTTAAACGTATGAACGCCTTATTATTTGATTCGCTTTGATCGCTTACCACACCTAAAAAAAAACCCATCAGAAACAAAACCCTAGTGCTGTTATTTGTTCCGATCAAATTGACCCAAACCCCTGACGGCGTGCTTGTTCATGGAGGTAAGTTCTCACTCTTGCATGATGTTTGCGATTTTCTATTTGTATATCGCTATCCTGGGGGCAAAAGTTGAAATTTTATCTCGGGTTGATTGTTTATGAGAAAATACAGCAGAAATTTGTATAAAAGTGTAGGAGATGCTTCTATTTTCTTGGCATCCGATCGCTGTGTGTCGCTCCGCCCCATGATTTTGTTAAATCCAGATCGTGTTCATCTTACTGACGATTTTTTTTTTTGATAGATTGATGGAGCTAAGTGGGTCAGCGAGACTGAGAGCTTATGATTTGAAAGGTGGAAGCATTCAGTTCCGTGAGCTCAGGGATTTCTTGCTACGCCGTAAACTTCTTTTGTTTTGGGGGTAACTTCTCATCCCTGCGTGATGTTTTGATTTTTATTTACAGAAGAGCAAAACTGTATCTCTTTTTATTTTTATTTTTATTTTTCCTTTAGCTGTGCTTGATCGTGTATGCGAAATAACAATTCTAAATGTTGTTTCATGTCATTACGTGTTGCATCTAAGATTAATCCTTTGTAGGCCGTTTTCAAGTGATCTACTTTTGGTTTAGTTTTACCATTAAATTTGTCAGCAAAGCAAAGTTTCTCTGTGTTATCAATGTTTGCATGCTTCTATGGTGGCTTACTCTTATTTTCAAGCGAGGGGAGTAATCCTGAGTATAAAAGCTTGTAGCGAGTTTCATGCCCTGAAATGTGGTGCTAATCAGCTGGAGTTCCCCTCTCAGAGAAAATTGGTAATTTGGTATAGATAACCCTTACTTATATGCAATGATATCTACATTTAAATGCAAGAACCTTAACATTTGTATGCATACAAACATCACATCATTAGTGAGCACTAGTAGCAAGGTTCTCAGATGTGTGCACCCCCCCCCCAAAAAAAAAAAAAAAAAAAAAAAAAAAAAAAAAAAAAAAAAAAAAAAAAAAAAAAAAAAAAAAAAAAACCACAAAGAAAACCAAAAAAAGAAAAACACACACACAGAAAAGAAAGAAAAAAGAAAAAAAGAATTCTGACTGGACCTTCTATAATATTGATTGCTAAGAAGATAGGTCGCAAATGACAACCTAATTTCCATTAAAACACAGTTATTACATAGATTTCTATGCTAAAAGACCACCCTAAACCTAAAATACTTCATCCAACAAACTCATAAAATTTTAATGTTTTATTGGAAAATTTTGTCAACTTTTAACGTGAGTCTAAAGGAAGTGAATATAAAGTTCTCTAGCAAAAACAGGACTGGGTCCTGTAAGAAATATTGTGGGTCAGCAATAGGTTCTGGTACACTTTCCAAATTATTGGTATATACTAAAAATGGTTGTTAAAGGTTCATACAAATAGAGAATTGGAAGCTTTTTTCAAGTTAGCTTTGGCAGAACCATCATGAATTTTCATGGTTTCAGGCTTTCAGCGTTAGACTACCATTAAAATTTAAAATTATAGGAAACTACAAACTTCAAGATAACTCCTTGATGACAATTAAATGCAGTTGTAGAATGTCATTTTGCCTCTTATTTGATTTCTCCCTGAAGGGATTAATAGTGGTTATAAATCACCATATTTGCCACTCTTCCCTTTCTTCCCATCCAATTGTCTTCTTCCTCCTTTTTTCTTTAAGCCCAATCTGAAACCATGGTAACATCTTTTCTTCCTGATCGACACCTTCCTACTCTCCCCATCCTGTTCAAGCAGTGGCACAAGCCAGGAATCAGCTTTTTCTTTCTTTCTTTCTTCTTCTTCTTCATCATTTTATTTTTATTCCTCGTTAAATGAGAATTAGAACTGTTGCGACTTATCACTTGTCTTCGAATAATGGGTTGGGACAAACAAATGAGAGTAGAAAAGGGATTAAGTTTCCTTAGAACCAATGTGTGAAACATTGAGCATACATCACACTGAAGAGATTCATGTTCCATAAGAATGGATTAGAAAGTGATAAGGAAGACGAGGAAGACGTAGATTAGCATGGCCCATGGAAGCATGATGAATTAGAGCATGATGAGGGATTAATTTTCATTTTATTAATATGAAATTAGTTACTTAATAATAATATTAGTAATTAATAATCACAAATAATTTAATATATAAAATATTTTAATCAAATATATTTCCAACTATTAGATAACTATTTTTATGAATTGATTAATTATTTTATAACTAATAACAGTTAATTAATATGAAATTAATTACTTAATCACAATATTAGTAATTAATAATCACAAATAATTTAATATATAAAAAAAAATTAATTAAACATATTTCTTACTATTAGATAACTATTTTTATGAATTAATTAATTAGTTTATTATTAATATGAAATTAATTACTTAAGTACAATATTAGTAATGAATAATCACAAATAATTTAGTATATAAAATATTTTAATCAAATATATTACTTATTATGAGATAGTTTTTAATTAACTATTTTATTAATAACAATATTTTATCAGTATGAATTTGATTAATTAATATCAACTAGTTATAATATGAAGTTACAACAACATGTCCTTTTTAGTCATTTGACATTTTACACAACCTTATAAGTTATTGGTTTACCAAACACACAACTACTTATATATCCTTATAAGTTATGGGGTTTACCAAACAATTTCCTTATTTTTTTTTACATACTTATATGTAATTTTAAGAATTAGTAACTTATAAGCATTCAAAAAATAAGTAGTAGCCAAACATGCTCTTAATGTTAACTTTCATCCACAGTTTACCACGTGCAAGTAGCATGCTAATCACAGACGGCAAGCTAATGGAAGGTGGTTTTCTGAGAACTTGTAGGACACTCATGGTGGTCTATGTGAAATTTCATACTAAGGAACCTTCGGGGTGTTAGGATTCACCCCAATAATAAAGTCTCGAACGGAGACTTAATCACAAAATAAAGGCACAAAATTCAACACAGAGTACTCACAGATATACGTGGTTCACTCCTTCGGAGCTACTCCACGGTGCAACGACGACGCCAAATTCTTTTATATCCCAAAAGAATTGATCCAAGAGAACACTCTCTCTTGATCAGATACACTCCAAGAATTCTCACAAACTCTCTCTTTGTTTTCTCTTACTCTTCTATAAGAGGAGTTGTTTCTGGGATGAGTTTTCCTTAAGAGTTTAGGGCCCTATTTATAGTGTTCGAAAAACACTATGCACAAATAAAATATTAGTAGTGGGACCCGCCACTAATAATAAATAATTGTGCGACCCGCCAACTTTTTCATTTTTCTCAAAAAAACGGTGCCTAATCTTTTGTCCTCATGTTGGTTGGGTCAAAAAGGTTGGACGCCTGACAATCTCCCACTTGAAGATTTGATTGAATGTCGATCATATCTTCACACCACTCTTGGTTGCATCATCCGGATGTCATGTATCTTTGGCGTCTTGCACGGCCCTCAACATTCTCAACGGAGGCCATATGAGGCTGCACACAGCCTCACCTTCTCGAGCGGAACTGATCGGCTGGATTGTACCTCGTATCAATCTTCACAAGCTTGAACTCGTTCCTGCTTTGCCATCTCCGTATGGCATGGTGTTTCACGTCAACATGCTTGGTCCGAGCATGGAATGCGTCGTTCTCTGACAAGTGAATGGCACTCTGACTGTCGCAGTGGATGAAGTATTTCTCAAAGCTTACTCCAAGCTCGAGAAGAAAAGCCTTCAACCATAGCAACTCCTTTGCTGCCTCTGTTGCAGACACGTACTCGGCTTCGGTTGTCAACAAAGCCACAGTATCTTGTAACTTGGATCTCCAACTTATCGCTCCACCACCCAAGATGAAGATGTAGCCGCTCGTACTCCTTCTCGAGTCTCTGTCCCCGGCATAGTCTGCATCACAAAAGCCCTCTAGCTGCAAATCTGCCCCGCCATACTCAAGACAACGGTCGGACGAGCATCTCAAGTAGCGTAGAAGGCACTTGACCGCACCCCAGTGTTGCTTCCCTGGATTGCTCATGAAGCGGCTCACAACTCCCACTCCTTGTGTAATATCTGGCCTCGTACACACCATCGCATACATCAAACTCCCGACGACAGATGCGTATGGTTGGGTCTTTGATAGCTTGAAATGACTCGCAAATGGCGAGCCCACTGGTTTAGCTTTCTCCATGCCGAACTTTTCAAGAATCTTCTCAATGTAGGTCTTCTGAGACAACCTCAGCCTCCGTGTTGATCTGTCTCTGATGATCCTCATTCCCAGAATCTGGTTTGCTGGACCCAGATCCTTCATCTCGAAGCACTCGGAGAGACGTCCCTTGAGTTCCTCAATGCGGGCTAAGTCGGGCCCTGTAATTAACATGTCATCAACATAAATCAAGAGTATCACATAGGATTCGTCGTATCTCTTGATGAAACAACAATGGTCTGTGTCGCATTTGAGAAAACCGTTCTCCTCCATAAAGTTCTCGAACTTCATATACCACTGTCGCGGAGCTTGCTTCAGGCCATACAAGCTCTTGCATAGGCGACACACGAGGCCCTCCCTGTCTCGTTCCTCGAAGCCCACTGGTTGATGCATATAGATTTCTTTCTCCAAATCTCCATGAAGGAATGCTGTCTTCACATCCATCTGCTCTAGATGGAGATCTCGAACTGGTTCGGATCGGGGTCAACTTGACGACGGGAGCGAAAACGTCAGAATAATCAATCCCTGCTTTCTGTTCATAGCCCTCCCCTACAAGCCTCGCCTTGTAGCGTCTCCGTCCATCGGCTTCATCCTTGACCCGATAAATCCACCGATTGTGAAGAGCCTTTCGCCCTCGTGGAAGCTTTACAAGCTCCCAAGTCCCATTCTTCATCAATGACTTCATTTCTTCCTCCATGACAGACTCCCACTCGCCACGAGCTTTGCGGTCTGCTGTACCTCCTCATAGCTCTCTGGCTCACCATTGTCAGTCAGGAGAAGGTAATTCATGGTGGAAAGGTACATCTCTGGCACCCTTGGATTTCTTAGAGCTTTGCGAATTGCAATCGGCAACTCTGCTGGATCCTACTGCTGTGCATCCCGCATGTTCTCTTGGTCTCCGTCTTCTATGCTGATTGGTATCTCACCGCCGTCCTCACTGTCAGCAATATCTGGGAAAAGAGGGGAAGATAGCTGACTCCCACTCACCTTTTTGGTCTTGTACACCGCATTCTCATGGAATACGACGTTACGATTGCGCACCACCTTGCGCGTATCGTGATCCCAGAAACGGTACCCATACTCATCTCCTCCATAGCCGATGAAAGAGAGCTTCTTTGACTTTGGATCAAGCTTTGACCGGTCTGCAGGATTGGTCATGACATAGGCGTCACAACCAAATACTCGTAAGTGCTCTAGCTTCAGCTTCTTTCCGGTCCAAGCCTCTTCAGGTATCCCATAATTGAGAGCCGCGGATGGCCCGCGGTTGATCAAGTATGCAGCAATATTGACAGCTTCAGTCCAAAAGCTCTTGGGCAATCCGGAGTGGATCCTCATACTTTTGACGCGCTCCAAGATAGTGCGATTCATGCGCTCCGCCACTCCGTTGTGCTGAGGTGTGCCTGGGACGGTCTTCAGTCTCCGAATCCCACGGGACGAGCAGAAGTTCTCGAACTCCTGGCTGCAATACTCGCCTCCATTATCAGACTTTAGACACTTCAGCTTATTGCCTGTTTCGTTCTCCACACAGGCAAGCCACTTCTTGAAGATGATGAATACATCTGACTTGTGCTTCAAGAAGAACACCCACAATTTTCTCGTAGCATCATCAATAAAAGTGACAAAGTAAAGAGAGTTACCAACAGATGGGACTTGCGCATGTCCCCACACGTCGGTGTGCACCAACTCCAATTTCTGCAGTTTTGGAGCCGGTCCGGTCTTGTTGAAGCTCACCTTCTTTTGTGTGCCTAGGATGCAGTCCTCACAGAAAGTCAGATCGATCTTGTTCAGACCCGGAAGCCTCTCTCCCGCGGCCATAATCTACATCCCCTTCTCGCTCATGTGGCCAAGTCATCGATGCCAAATCATGCAGTCGACGGATGATGATGATGATGCTTGTCCTGCGGCAAGCAAGTGGTCGATCTTCCCGTTGGCGATGTAAAGAGACCCCTCGTGTTTGCCGTGTGCCACCACCAGAGCACCCTTGGACACCTTCCAGCTTCTCTGCTCAAAGGATACTCTGTAACCGGAGTCAGTCAGTTGCCCGACTGATATAAGATTTCGTCTGAGATCCGGTACATGCCGAACGTCGTTCAGCGTCAAGGTGGTCCCGCCCTCCATCTTGAGGGTACAATTTCCCTTCCCGAAAACTTTGCAAGGTTGATCGTCGCCAAGATAGACTGTCCCCAAATCCTTCTTCACGAACGATAAAAGCAGTTTTTGTTGTGAGGTTGCATGGAAAGATGCGCCAGAGTCGATGATCCACGCATCACTTTTGTCTTCTAGGGATAGGAGAAGTGCATCCGAATCCGTCTCGTGCATGAGATTGGCTGCACCGTCAGCCCGATCATCCCCTACTGATGCTGGAACAGTAACTCTGCAATCCCGTGCAAAGTGGCCCTTCTAGCGTTGCTCACCGCCATTACCATATTCTCCCATGAATCTGGTAGACAAGAAAGTAGCAGAAGAGCTTGGATCTCGTTGTCGAACTTTAGATCTACTGCAGCAAGCTGTTGCACCACAGCCTGAAATTCGTTCAAGAAGTCCGCCACGCGAGCTCCTTGCTGCATCTTGAGATTGAATAGCTTCTTCATCAGGTACACCTTATTTGAAGCAGACGGCTTCTCATACAGCGCCTCCAAGGCCTCCATCAACTCCTTGGTGGTGGTCGCATGCGAGACGTTGTAAGTCACATGCTGGTGAAGGTTGAGCCTGATGGTGGCAAATGCTTTACGATCGAGCACCTTCCACTTATCGTCGTCCATCTTCTCAGGTTTGCCCGCCTCTTCTTGGAGGGGTAGGAAGAGATCTTTCTGGTACAAATAGTCTTCTATTTGCATCCTCCAATACCTGAAATTTTGGCCGCCGAACTTCTCAATTCGAAGCCTGTTGCCTTCAACTGTAGATCTCATGGCGAAAGATTACGTCTTTCCCGTATCCGTGAATAGTACCGTATCCGTATAGTACCGTATTCGTGAATAGTACCGTATCTGTGAATAGTCCCGTATTCGTGAATAGTACCGTATTCGTGAATAGTACCGTATTCGTGAATAGTACCGTACACGTGAATAGTATCGTACACGTGAATAGTGTCCAATGCCTTAAAAGAGTAAATATTAATCTAACTTATTTTCTGATGTGGAGGATCCACTTTTAGTGGCAGCCACAGAGCATACAATAAGCAGATATATATACTCTAAGTCAAGCTCTGATACCAGTTGTTAGGATTCACCTCAATAATAAAGCCTCGAACGGAGACGTAATCACAAAATAAAGGCACAAAATTCAACACAGAGTACTCACAGATATACGTGGTTCACTCCTTCGGAGTTACTCCACGGTACAATGACGCCGCCAAATTCTTTTATATCCTAAAAGAATTGATCCAAGAGAACACCCTCTCTTGATCAGATACACTCCAAGAACTCTCACAAACTCTCTCTTTGTTTTCTCTTACTCTTCTATAAGAGGAGTTGTTTCTGGGATAAGTTTTCCTTAAGAGTTTAGGGCCCTATTTATAGTGTTTGGGAAATACTATGCACAAATAAAATATTAGTAGTGGGACCCGCCACTAATAATAAATAATTGTGGGACCCGCCAACTTTTCCATTTTTCTCAAAAAAAACGGTGCCTAATCTTTTGTCCTCATGTTGGCTGGGTCAAAAAGGTTGGGCGCCTGACACGGGGAACTTTCTACGCTATCAGAGTGTGCTTGAAACGTCCTGTCAGAGCATGAGATTAAACAAAAGACTTACGGACCCAATTCTTCGTGCGTGCAAACAAACACAAATACATGCAAAAACTTTAGGAAGAAGACATCAGCAGCTTCAACCATCTGAAAGGGTCATCTTTACGGTATTAATGAAGCACGGTAATTTGAAGCATTGAGGAAATACATCAATCAGATACTTTCATGATACAAATGGCATTTCTCCTCCAGACAAGTCTAACTACTGTATCAGTCTCAGATATACACCATGTTAAATTAGTTATTTTATTATAAATACATTGCTAGTTTCTTTTTAACTTCAATCTAATAGATGTAGCATTTATTCATTTTGGATATGCACCTTGTTAAACTTGTTCATTATTTGTTGCAGGGGTTACCATCAAGCTTCATTTGTGGGCACAGACAAGGTTTTGACCAGAGTCTTCGACGTATCTGAAGACCTATGCTATTGCCGCCATCTTCTAATTGTGGACATTGTTCCAGCTTTTCTGCACTGCTTATGGAACAAGTATTTATTAATTTTTTAGTTTAATCGCCCATATTTCATTAAGAGGGGGGAACACACCACAACGAGCATTTTTTAGCAGGACAAAGGAAATGCTCAATCTCTGGATTCTGTATGTGATCTCTAGCATTTTTGCTTCTTAGAATTAATCGTGTTCCCTTTTTTTATGCCAATAGCCAAGAATGGATACAAATAGTTGAAGTTTGATGCAATGGACAAGTAACACATTCGTGCCAACAGGTAATAAATATTTTGGATTTTTAAATGTATATCTGCTCCAAATCTTCCTTATTTCTATACCCTCTCTCCACCTTGAAGATTAGATATAACCCCTTGAGACCTGTAAGGTACCTCAAACATCAATGACTGAATACCTTACTCCTATTTGCCTATTTGGTTTCATTTCACATAATTTGACTTAAGCCTTCCATTTTCTATCATTTGGGGTTTGTTTGGGGTAAAAACTCACATGGTACTAGATATATATAGCTCTATTGACGACAACTTATAGTTTCTTTCCTAAATCTGGGTTGTAACTTCACTTTTTGCCTTTCCTGGAGTTCAACAACATCCTCATGCACCCCTGTTTTAGGAACTGGCTAGTAGTTTGACAATTAATGAAAATCACAATGGCAGTGTTGAGAAGCATAACTGCCTACCAAAGCATACATAAGCAAGCTTATGGGTTAATTAGTACATAAAGTTTGACTAAGCATTTGAAATGAAAAGCTGGAAAAAGGAGAAAAAAGAAAAAAGAAAAAGAAAAGGTGAGCAACCATATTTTGCAATCCTTCTACTGGAACTTTTCAGAAATCACCTGCATTTCTTATGGGTAAGTTAACATTTTCAAATCATAGCATGAATCAAGCAGAGTAACTAATCAAAAATATTGAATGATTCAAAATTATGAACAATTAATAGATGCGTACTACTTACGAATTTCATTACTTTTCATTTTCATCAGAGTTGCCTCAGTTGTTGTGGGCAGTATTTACTGCTTAATTCATATAGCGAATATTTAAGATAAGCAAAGTTACTTGTGGGACATATGGGTACTTGCCTCATGATAGAACTTCACGTTCGATTAAGAATTCAACTTGAATATTGATGAGTTATTTGTTACAGAGGAGCTTAGGTTACTTCTTTATCAGTAGCAAGTTATATATATTTTGGTCGTCCATGAACGCATATTCACATATGTAATATGTATGAGTGAAGCAACTTCTGTGACCATGAAATATTTAGTTTCTTTACTGACCAAAAATACACCAAGAAATTGATTTTCCCTAGTTTTAGTATGTAGCGATGAACTAGAATGAGGAACCTGGAATAAAATGTTAAGAAAATCCAAAGAAGCTTAAAACACCAGAATTACTCTTTGGCATTGAGCTTTCTGTATATGTGTATGGGAACTAATTAATGGATAATCAATGATCATTCTAGAATTGTTTGAAATTGGTCTGGTAAATTAAATGGTAGAAAAATCGGTAAAAATTAACAATTAATGCGTTAAACTTTTGCATTTAATCATATGAATTATTTTGGTATTTTCTTACAAACATTTGTAGACAACATGGGGAAACAATAATCAACACAGGGATAGGTGCCTAAAGCGCATGGGTCAGATGACCAAGACATCGTGTATGGCAGAGGGTCTCTCCAAATAACTGAGGAATTGGATGGGTGCTCTACGGGGCCACCCTTGTTTGTTACCCAAAAAAATAAAAAGGAAAAGGAAATAATAAAATAAAAATAAAACTAATAAAGATAGCTAATTTTTTGTTGAATTTTTTTTTCCGTAGATATCTATACCTCATTATTTATTTTTACTAGCTTTATTTACTTCTTAGTTCTTACATGTTTATGTCTTATTTTTGCATTATTTTTTTGCAGAGATAACTTACTCAATGGTCATTATTGAGAAATTTGACGTATATAGCTTTGCTATAGTAATGTTAGAAGTTCCAATGTGAAGATATCCTGTTGAATTGATACAACAGTGCCAACTTTGATTGAGCAACATATATTGCTAAAAGGGGTGCTGGATCAATGCATATTATCAAACTTCACGAGCCACTCAATGTAATGGAATTAAATTGATGGATTTATAAAGGTTAGTTCATCTTTATCATTCAAGTTCTAGAGCTATCTGGAGATTACTAGATGTTCTTTAATCTTTCTACACTTGTAGTTTCCTTGTTATAATCTGACTGTATTATCCACGTCACTGCATATTTATGCTCCTCTTTGATCAGTTTGCTCTTTGACTGCTTTAATTAGAAAATTCTTTGTACACTTTCAATTTGTATTAACTGTATCTAAAGCCTAGTCTGAAACAAAATTTTATGTCAGTTTTTTTTCCTGCTTTTACACGAAGATCAGATTTGGAAAGGGACACTACACATATCAGGTGGTCGTGGAAAGCATTTTGCATCATTCATATTTCGGACCATGCAAAGGATATAACATTTTTACTTTAGTGTAAAACTTATTTGAGTGAATGAGAATGTGAAAAATTAAATGTGAAAAATTACAATTATCTTAAAACTAGTATCCCCGTGCACGTGATGCCTGCATAGAACTTGGTGGGGTGCCATAGTCAAATTGTCAAGGAATGGATGGTTTATTATATCTTTTTGGATGTTTCCCAAGTGTGAGGGCATTTTCCTTTTTTCCCCCAGTGTGAGACCATTACTGTAGTTTTTTCCAAGTGAGATTTCCTTTGTTTCTCCCAAGTGCAAGGACATATTTGACATCCTAAAAATGTGGCTAACACAAACCCAACAGTGGATTCTCTTAATATATAGTATAGATTTGACTGAACCAAGGTACGTATAAGTCTATGTTGCAGGAATACATGTGCAGGTGCGGATACGGACACGGACATGGGTATGGACACAGGGCAAAAAAAAATTGTAAAACATAGGATACAGAGACATGGAATATATACACATGCACGCGCACGCTCACACATGCGCTCACACATACGCACAGTGAAATTAATAGTTTAGATGAAATTGATTTTTTTTATTCACATGTTATGAGAACTAAAATCCCTATAATATTTTTACGTTTCTTTTATTTGGGCAGATAATAAATGGAAAAACCACGCATTTTAGAACTAGATACCCAAATGACCCTTCAAAATCATACTTATGAACTGGGTATGAGTTGAAATGAACCCGACCCAATTATAATGAGTTGCAGAAATTTGAGGTGAAGTGTAAGATATGTCCAAAAAGTGTATTACAGGCGTTTCAAACTAAAACATGTATGATATAATTGAGTACACGTCTGAATAAATGTATGTACATATTCAGTATGTACATATTCAAAAAGTGTCCAAGCAGTGTCGGACATGGACACGGATACGGGAAGTGTCGGATGTGGATAGGGTAGAAGTATCTTGATAAGCTAGGTATAAATAGATGCTTTATTAGGTTTTGAGGAGTTCAATCTATGGACAGGTTCTGAAAGTTAAGCCCAATTTTCCTAGGGATAAGTTTCCTTATCTGTTGTGATCTCCCTATAACTTTTTTTAGGACTTTTCCCCTTAAGGTTTTTCATGTGGGCATTTCTGGCTATTTTTGAGGTAAAAAGCCTGACTTTTGGAGGTGATTTTTTGCTGATCCTGTTTGTGTTACCAAGATGAGGGTGCCTGATTTGGCAGTGTTATCAATCCTTATCAATCAAAGACAAAAGGAAGAGGGATTCTTCACTATTGTCTTCCCAAGTGCCTTTTGGGATCTGATTTCTGCAGATATCAAAGATGGCATATTCGAAATTATAAATTATAAAGTTATTGTGATGTGCTGTAATGGATAACAAACGAATAAATATTAAGAAATAAGAAATCCTGGGAAGAACTAAATAAGTAACATTTGAGACAGAGATATTAAGTTATATAAATACAAAAATGTCTATTATGAAGATTGAACCCAAGCCCTCTAGAGGTATTGTTGTGCTATAACATCAGGGTTGGTATTTCCCAAAAGATTGGCCAATTAGGTTGGGATATACTTCTCCATGATATCATATACCGCAGAGAATTAGTTTGATTAAAAAAAAGTAGGCTGTCAACATTTGTTTTTTAAAATCTGACTGGTATACAAACTTATATCCCTGAAGAAATCATAGACAACCCCAAACTTATATCTTCTCTTCTATTGAAGAAATAGTACAAGTAATCAGATCTATATTTGATTGAAGAGGTTAAATTGAAAAAAAAACTATGAAATAATGACAGATGGAACACATAAGCAGCTTGCAAAACAGTAGTAACTGACTGGCGAAGGAATGTATTAATAGCAAAACTCTCTGCAATTTGTACATTGATGTTGATCTAATGCGAAAGCCAAACAAATATACACGTGGAGACGTCTATGAATACACTCGTACAACATAAAAACCAAAACCCAGAGATGATGATATTGTTGCTACCTATTGTTGATGGGGTTGGGGCCACTAGGGACTTCATGTTTAGTGTCTTCAAACTGCTGGGGCGAAGTGGGCGTCTCCGGGGACAACTTCTTAGCTTGAGACATGGAATGAGAGAGAAGACTCCTAGCGGTCGAAAAGGAGGTAATGGAGGTCTTCAGTTGCTGAGTTGGGCGAACTAAGATGGAAAAAGAGAGCAAGAGAAGGAACCAAAATGGCAGCGAGTGTGATCTCATAAAGCTTTCATCTGTTCCCATGAAAGTCGCAATCTCAAGATTAACGGAAAATAGAAGCCACCCCCCAAATTCCACGAGCGCTCATTATCCATGAAACACTTGAAAGAACAAGAAATAAAGATGAAGTGTTTATGAATGTAGCAGCATATATCTAAGCTTTTAAGTTGGAAAGGCATGACATGAATGATTGATGTAGGAAGTTACATATGTACCCTTATCATCTATGTGAGAGAAGTTTTTACCCTCCAAAGACTTCAACTTTTAGTCAGCTCGAGTTTGAACAGAGAGCTTGTTTGGTTGTTTCAAATCATTTTGGGAATAAAGCAGAAAGCAAACTGACAGTGTTCCAAATCATTGAAGTGATAAAAATCGTGCTTTATGATTTCTAGATATCATTCTTTAGCAGTAAGCAAAACATCAAAGATCTTAGCGAGCTAGATTTGGAAATCTATCTTCTGGCCTTTTGATTTCATAACTTTTGAAGGACTATTACAATGAATGAGATCTGGATCTTGGGTTGATACAACTGAGGTGGATTCTTGGACTTTAGAATAGAAATACCTTTTCTATTTTGAGAATACACTTTTCCCTATTTCTAGAACAGTTTGATATTTATCGAAATCATACTACACTGGGTTGTTTCAGAACAAAGAGCTGAGTGTGATTAAGTATTTGATGGTTTGTCAAATTAAGAAGATCACGGGATGCATAGCTCTAACTTATAAGGGTAGAAATGAATAATAACCTATAAAATTCCTGTTACTTAAGCCCCTCATAATTTTACCCTCAAAATACACGATCAAGAATTAGATCAGGGCATCTAGCCTTCTGTTTTACTTTTTCTTTACTGAGATAAAGATAAAGAAGATGCCTGACAATGTTTTACAGTAAGTGATCCTTTTGTATATATATATGCAGTTTCGTTCACGCTACAGTTAAAAACCAGGATCCTTTCTGGAAGATAAAGTGAAATTGCAGAAAACCCTCTTTAATTTGTAAGAATCGCGGAGAATCCTACTATGGTTTTAAAAGTAACACCCCTCATTTTCAATTTCCAATCGCATCATTTCGTCATCTTTTCTATGTAAATGTTTATGCCAGATAGAAATAATTGTCATATTCCATCGTCATTGTTTTTCGCATTCATGTTAACTTTTAAGGAATCGGAAATGGGTTGAACAAACTGTTATTTTTAAAAAAAAATTCAAACCTTAAACCATGAACTTTCAGGTATTTTCATTGAGCTACAAGGCATTTTTTTTTTTTGATAGTTTTGTGAATTTACCCTTTCTCATAATTTACCAGAAAGATAAAAGTGATGGGTACTGTTTTGGCTTTTTTTTTTTTACTTTGTTTGGCTTGCAGCAGGGGAAGAAAAAAAAAGCTCTGCCGTATTTGACTCGGAGGGAACCCCTAAGCAAGGCAAGGAAATCTCTGCACGCTTTTGGAAAGGAGGAAGATGAGGGGGGGAGCACAGAGAAAGAAAAGCAAAGGAATTCAAAGGCCTCGGTTGATATCTTTATAGCCCCCTGTGAAGCCTTGGGATGCTGCTGTCCCTATGATGGGGCGCATCCAAGGGCCCTCATTGATACTGTGACGGAATCGATTAAAGAAGAAACAGCACAGCTGCTGCTGTGTGCGAACGCAGAGATTGGGGTCGTTGCGCTGCTTGCTTTGCAGCTAGCTAGCTGCTTTTGTCATTCACCTGCGTTGGGGCGTGGTTTTTTTTTCCCGCTTTTCTTCTGAGAGAGGGGCTGAAGGCTAAAAGCCTTTCACTTCTCGCGCAGAATCGCATTATGCGAGATGTCTTGGAGATAAAAGAGTTGTCCGTAATAGTATGCGTGCGAAAATCGCGAACATGCATTGTAAATCTCAGTAGTTGTTTCCTAAGTTTTTTTCCGGCAGAACATGCATTGATTCATGACGGTGTTTTAGCTTCAAAGTGTACGTGAGCGTTGGCTATTTATGGGGTTATTGCTAATCATTTGCTTCTCTCATATTAGGAAATATTATCTGCTAGGAATCTTTTAAAGCGCTAAGGCCAATGAGATGGCCAAAAACAATCACGTTGAGTACAGAGTGGGGGAAAAGATCAAACGCTTTCTCTCCCTCTTGCCTACATAGCATAGAATAGATGTTAGATGCCATCATCCAATAGGGAAGAACAGTAGACCACCACCAATTTCTTCACGGCATTTGAATTAAAAACAAGGGCGGTTTTGGCACGGACTTCGCTATAATTGTACCTACGCCCATCTCATCATTTTTGGATTATCCAAGATGAACAATTTTTCAAAACAACCCCATTTTGTTTTTTAATTTTTAAAATCGATCATTTTTTTATTTACCAAAACCGATCCGTTTTTTATCACGTCAGCCTAATCACTTTTCTAAACAGTAGGGGTTGCCAACCCCGACTATTTAGGAGGGTGTTAACCCCCAATTAAAAGCCTTAAACCCTAAAAAATTATGTCCTAAACAGTTGGAGTTGGCAACCCTGACTGTTTAGGAAAGTGATTAGTCTGACGTGGTAAAAAACGGGTCGGTTTTGGTAAATAAATAAAAAAAGATCGATTTTAAAAATTAAAAAAAGAAATGGGATTGTTTTGAAAATTTGTTCTATCCAAGATTTGATATGGCGAAAAGAAATCTCTCTAATGATTTGGACCTAAGACCATCTCCAACGCGACGCTATTTTGCCGCAAAAAACGGATTTGCCGATGCTCCGGAGCTCCAACGCGGCGCCAATTCTCGCTGCATTTTAGCGGGGATGAACAGCACGACGCTATATTTGGCGTCGCACTGTTCATCTCCGCATTACTGTTTCTTTTATTTTTTTTTAATTTTTTTTTAAATTTTACCTCATATTTTAATGTATTTACAACTTGACCCCAATTATTTTATTACATGTATAAAACAACCCTAATAATATTTAAATTTTATAATTTTACCCCAATTGTATAATTTAGACAAAATAAATTATTTTTAAAAAAAAATAATGTTGAAATTAAAAAGGCATTATTATTAATTATACTATTAAAATCTAGACATTATAAGTAAAGTCCCATGAATTATAAAGAGCAATCATAATACATAATTCAAATATAAATTACATATATGGAATACATAACATATAAAAACTGACACACATAATATAAAACTTCATTAAAATAAAACATAAAATACAAACTAAACATGGAACATTACATAAGATGGTCAAGCAACTCTCAATAATCTGGTAGATCGGGGCCAGAGTGTCCAATATCATTGAAATAATTGCCAAAATTAGAAGCAGACCCTTGTTCTTGTTGATTTCTTTTTTGTATTATTTTAATCTGTTGAGCTCGAACGTACTCACGCACGTTTGGATCAGCAATGGAATTCAAATCTTTCATTATAATTTTCCATTCATCTCTATCTTTTTTCATGGCTATCTTTTCTCGTTCGATATCAAACGCTACTTGCATGTCCAAGCTCGCCTTGTCTAACTTGTCTATAAGTCGGTTGCTGGAGGTCTCGATGGAGTCCACTACACTTGACTCATGATCATCATTTTTCCTTTTCAATTTAGCTTTTTTTACCCCAATAGGTCGTTCAGATGGAGTAAATGATGACAGTCCAGGAGATGTTGATATAGGAGATTCCGGAGTGGGATTATCTGATTGTGACGAGTCGAAGTTCACACTTTGGGATTGTCTTCGACCAACTTGTCTTGCTGTGGGGACATCATCTTTGAATTTTTCGAAATTTTTAACCATATTCCAGACATGATCAAATTTGAAACCTTTTTTGTACTTTGGTTCTTGCATAAATAACATCTTTGCTCGAACTAACTGCAAATTATAGTGAACATCAAGTTATGTATTTCAACAATAATAATAAAATTCAGACGATAATTAATAGAATACTTACAATATCTTCATCTGAAGCACCACTTGGATTCAGATTCTCTACTTGTCTCAAGCACGCATTCAATTTCCTTACTTCATTACTTATGATTTCCATTCGAGAACGAATTGATCGGCTCGTACGCATCTCAAAATGCTGATCTCGAAGTTCATTGTATTTGTCCTCCACACGAGACCAAAATGCATCTCGAGACTGGTTTCTACCGATAATAGGGTCTTGAGAAATATCCAAGAATACTTGACAAAGGAGCACATCTTCAGTAACCGTGTATCCAGTTAATCGAACAGACATTTTTTTGTAAAAAGCGGTTGGTTTGGAGATCAGAAATACTTTGAAGAAATACTTCGAATTGGGTGGCTTGAAGTAGAAACCGTGAATGTTATTTATAGCCAATCCAAATTTGTTTTTTTTGTTTGAATTTGAATTTGAATTTGAATTTGAATTTGCGGTTGGTTTGAATTTGTCGGTGGTCAACATTTGAAATTGAATCATTTTGTACAAACTGATCAGCTTTACACATTATCCAACGTTGTCGGTGGGAATCAAATTTTGAAATCAGGTCAGCTTTACACATTATCCAACGTTGTCGGTGGGAATCAAAATTTGAAATCAGGTCAGCTTTACACATTATCCAACGTTGTCGGTGGGAATCAAAATTTGAAATCAGGTCAGCTTTACACATTATCCAACGTTGTCGGTGGGAATCAAAATTTGAAATCAGGTCAGCTTTACACATTATCCAACGTTGTCGGTGGGAATCAAAATTTGAAATCAGGTCAGCTTTACACATTATCCAACGTTGTCGGTGGGAATCAAAATTTGAAATCAGGTCAGCTTTACACATTATCCAACGTTGTCGGTGGGAATCAAAATTTGAAATCAGGTCAGCTTTACACATTATCCAACGTTGTCGGTGGGAATCAAAATTTGAAATCAGGTCAGCTTTACACATTATCCAACGTTGTCGGTGGGAATCAAAATTTGAAATCAGGTCAGCTTTACACATTATCCAACGTTGTCGGTGGGAATCAAAATTTGAAATCAGGTCAGCTTTACACATTATCCAACGTTGTCGGTGGGAATCAAAATTTGAAATCAGGTCAGCTTTACACATTATCCAACGTTGTCGGTGGGAATCAAAATTTGAAATCAGGTCAGCTTTACACATTATCCAACGTTGTCGGTGGGAATCAAAATTTGAAATCAGGTCAGCTTTACACATTATCCAACGTTGTCGGTGGGAATCAAAATTTGAAATCAGGTCAGCTTTACACATTATCCAACGTTGTCGGTGGGAATCAAAATTTGAAATCAGGTCAGCTTTACACATTATCCAACGTTGTCGGTGGGAATCAAAATTTGAAATCAGGTCAGCTTTACACATTATCCAACGTTGTCGGTGGGAATCAAAATTTGAAATCAGATCAGCTTTACACATTATCCAACGTTGTCGGTGGGAATCAAATTTTGATATCAGGTCAGCTTTACACATTATCCTTCGTTGTCGGTGGGAATCAAAATTTGAAATCAGGTCAGCTTTACACATTATCCAACGTTGTCGGTGGGAATCAAAATTTGAAATCAGGTCAGCTTTACACATTATCCAATGTTGTCGGTGGGAATCAATTTTTGAAATCAGGTCAGCTTTACACATTGTCCAACGTCTACAGCTAAGCAAATTTGAATTTTGTGACAAATTGATAACAGCTGGAAAGCATTTCCTAAAAGCAGCTCAACTTTACACATTGTTCAATGTATACAGCTAAGCAAAGTTTTATAAATAGCATACTAGATTAGGTACATCCACACAACTACTCGTTGTTGTGTTAAAATTATTATTCTCCATTTCTGCATACTTCAGTCATTCTTTTCTTACTTCAAAAATGAATTTCGATGTTGGAGGTCCATCATACTTATCATCATCTTCATCTTCGGATGATGATACTTTTCTGTCCAATATCATTGCAGAGATTGATGAAACCGAAGAAGTAATTTGTGAGTACATCAACAACAACATGATCCTCGTTAACAATTTACGTCAACAAAACTACCAACCGATCCATGGTGGCTCGATTCCCGGTCATGCAGTGATCAACCGCGATCGAGAAAATGCGCATCAGAATTTGGTCATAGATTACTTTGCCGATAATCCACGTTTTGGAGAAGATATGTTTCGTCGTCGATATCGGATGTCAAGAAGTTTGTTCCTTCGTATTGTTGATGCAGTGAAAGATCATGACTATTACTTCCAACAACGAAGTGATGGACTTGGTAGAATGGGATTATCACCGTTACAGAAAGTAACAGCTGTTTTTCGCATGTTGGCATACGGTTTACCAGCTGATGCTACAGACGAATACGTTAAAATAGGTGAGTCAACAGCAATTGAAAGTATGACAAAATTTTGTCGTGCTATGGTGGAAATATTCGCAGAGCGGTATCTACGAACACCTAACGCTAACGATATTGCTAGGCTACTCTATATTGGAAAAAAACGTGGTTTTCCAGGAATGTTAGGAAGTCTTGATTGTATGCATTGGAAATGGAAAAATTGTCCAACAGCATGGTCTGGGCAATACACAGGACGTAGTGGGTCACCAACTATTATCCTCGAAGCTGTGGCAGATTATGATCTTTGGATATGGCACGCATATTTTGGTATGCCAGGCACCAATAATGATATCAATGTGCTGGAGTCATCTAATCTTTTCTCTAACCTAGCTCAAGGTATTGCTCCTCCCGCTCACTATGTTATTCAAGGAAAAGAGTATAATATGGGTTATTATTTAGCTGATGGTATATATCCGAAATGGGCTACTATTGTACAAACAATCCAACAGCCACAAGGTAGGAAGAAAAAATATTTTGCCATGAAACAGGAAGCATGTAGAAAAGATGTAGAACGTGCGTTCGGAGTTCTCCAATCACGATTTGCAATCGTGGCAGGATCAGCACGTTTTTGGAAAAAACATGTATTACATGACATAATGACTGCATGCATTATTATGCACAATATGATAATCGAGGATGAACGTGATCTTTATGCACCAATTCAAGAAGTGAGGGAAGCACCAA